AATGGTTGCTATTGAACAAAAAGAAGAACAAACTAGAACCTAAGTTTCTAAGCAAAGACTTTGGTGGTGGAGATGAAAGAAAGAAATGTGATATCGCTAATATAAGATCGAAATCACTTTTTAGTGTGAGATGTGTGTGTGAGTTATATCATTGCATGGGTTATCATTTAAAGTTATAACTGTGCATATGATTAACTTATGAATATTTCGATCGTTCATCTTTGTTCATATATCTTAGAACTTGTTTTCATGTATTTTGGTTAGGAGACTGTAGGCAGTATATTGCAAACTGTAAAGTGTTTACAAGGGAAGTGAAGCGACATGAATGTATAAACCCAATTAGAGCTCTCATTAGAGATATCACTTTTGTCAAAATAACATGTTTGGCGTAGAAAAAGAGGGAAATCGTATATATTTTCTTAATTAGAAATTACAGTATTTTTATTTTCTGATTTTAATATACATCGTTGAGAAAATTAGTAACAAATTTTCAAATTATCATAAATCAAGCAAAAAAAAAAGAGAGAAGAAAATAAAATAAGTAGAATAATTTTGAAAGAAAAATGTTGAAAAGAGGGTGGTTCTGGTTTTGCTTACATAGATCAGTCTGATGTGTTCTTTTATACTAATAAAGTCCGTACAAAAAGCAATGGGTTGATGATATAATGAGGAGTGTTGATATTTGAGGAAACACAATATTCCATCAACAGTCTGCTCTTCATTTTTTCTCATCATCCCATACAACACAGCTCTTCTTTTTTTCTTTCCAGCTTTTTATTTTTCCAATGTTTTTCAACTTTTTTTTAAGCATAGAATAATATATAGTTCTAATATAATTCGACTTGCCTGAATAAAGTAAATATGTTTAGATGTTACCAAAAAAAACAGAGTTAATGACTTAATATCATTTTTTCTACTAAAAATAATTTTGATTTTTTTGATTGACAAATAATTTTGAAATTGTTTCTTTGAAAGTATTGAATTTTTAACACGGCAAAAGAAAAGAAATCGCAGGAATTTTTTTGTTGGATATATTAATATATCTATTTAATAAATTTCATATTTTATATTCCATATAGTTAATGATGTTTTGGAATCTCGAAATAATTCGAACTCAAATGTAATATTTTCAAAAATGCGCAAATCCTTGTTTTTTTTTTTTTTTTTTCGTCTGAATGATTCCATTATATTATACGAAGGTAGAATGCGGTTTTGAAATACAAGACCGACAAGAGTCGAAACTCTTTCGGAAACTAAGCCGGCGGAAGACATAAATATCCCCGGAAAACTAAGCCCAAAAGAGGGAAACAAACTAGAAGCAAAAAGGTACTAGAAGGTAAGCCTAAAAGGAACCAAGGAACTAAATCTGAGACTCGAAACCATCATAACCCGCAAACAATCCCAGAGTAACGGTTGGCGTCAGAGCTGAAACCAAGAAACATGAGCCTCAGAAGAACCAACCAAACAGGCAAACTCCAATAGACCGGAGATCCCGAAGAAGAACGAATCTGAAGGCTCAACCAGCAACAACACGACAGAACAGAGAGCAGGAACAATCCGAAAAGGAGCACAGCAACAAACACCATCAAGCCATCTCCAACATGAAAATGAGCTTAAGCGAAACCAGGCACTAAGAAAACCTTTGAAAAACGGCTGGGGATAAGTCAAAGAGGAGCACCAACTCTTACACGCGGACAAAGCGAACCAATCAAAGCCACCTACAAACATGAACCGGTCACGACCTCGCAAGAGAAGAACTAGTGAACGAAACCACTGATGCGCTTAGAACCCAACAACGAAAACCGAAGACGGCTTCAGAAAAGAACTAGTAGATGCACCTGCAACGATGTACCATCCGAGAGACAAACCCCAAACACGAACCTAGCCCACCAGAACTCACACACAAACGAGAGGAAGCAAACGGCGAAGAAGAACTAGGAACCCAAAGCAGAGAGATAAAGCAAGCAAAGCACTAATCCGGAAAGCACAGCAAAGCCATACAATAAGCCGTAGAGTTAGAACCCAAAATAAGCCTAACTTAATCTCTGCCCAAGCCTAAAACACCAACTAAACCTACAACACAAACTCCAAATCTAAACCAAACACAACCAAGGAAGAGCCAAAGGAAAGAGGAAGCATGAGAGACGAGAGGAGAACTGGGTCACCGAGAAAACAGAGCCGCTGTTCAGATCGGAAGAAGCCATAGATGCTCCAAACACAATGAAGCAAGTGGTCAGGGACAGGAAGAGGCACCACACAGAGAGACGATAGTGAGAACGGCGACTCCATCATAACCATCGATCAAAAGCCCTTTCGATTCCGATCTCCTGGAACCAAACTCCATCAGATCTGAGATTCATCAACAACCCAAACCAGCTCGTCAAAAACACCACGCTTCCAAGGCCGAAGAAAGCTAGGACAATAAACGAAAGAGAGGACCGACGCCGACGCTGTGGAAGCCGTCACGCGCCGGTCAGATCGTGGCCAAGACGAAGAAGTTGAAGGACGGCGATTAGGTTTAGTAGAGAGAGAGAAGGAGATGCGACCCTTCCATCATTGAGTCTTATTTCCCAGATGCGCAAATCCTTGTTACAATTGTGACTTTTTGCACGGCTTTACTTATGGGTATGAGTTATGACCTTTTAGCAAATACTTGAAACGGGAAAAATAGAAAAGAGGGTAAGATAGTTAGGTTTAATAAAGCAAATTTTGACTAATTAACACTTTATGATCTATCTATATTGACCTGCTTTAATATACATAAAGTGGGTCTTATGGGCTGATACTAAAAGTCGACAACCTAATCTCAATAAATTCGTTGATCAGTGGGAATGATAAGTGGATTTGGATACATGTTTTGCATCAAACTATGCTTTTTTCTTCAAAAATTGCTTTGCTCCATATGTCGTCAATGGTCTAAATGTGAAATTTGAAAAAACAGATGACCATTGGACTGTCGATTGTCGAAGCCTCCCTATCTTTAAAAAAAAAAAAAAAAAATTCTTGGCTTCTCCAATCGGTTTAACATGCATGAGAACAAAATAAAATACTTAATTATTTCCAAAACCTAAACTTAACTCGCATGACTCAATTTTTCCAAAACCTAGATAAGATTTGTATAACGATATAGAGCGAGATGTGTAGCTAGCCGTTGTATTTGAAAAGTAGGTTATTCACTTTATACATCTTTCTCACGCGTTAAAGATTACAAAAAGATGTTGTTTTATATGCATAGCCTCGATCGTATAGTAATTATTCAAACTATTACGAGTCTCATTGGTGTTGGTGCTAATTGTTGTGGAAACAATTAGAAATAGACGGTTGTATAAATAACAAAACAAATGGAATTATGAATCACAAAAAGAAAATTCATTATTTGGTTATCAATCAGAACTCATAAGTACCGTATACAACTACATGAAATCAAAAAAGAAATCAACTATATGATTAATTTCATTAAAAGTTACTATGTAAGCAGACACTTCTCACACAAACCAAAAATAAAGTATTTTCACGGTCCATGCGTTTGTGCTTTAACACGCTTCGCCTAAAGCATGCCTTGTAATTGTAATCAAATCGATTAACCCCCACTAATGAACCGATGATGACTAATGAAGATTCATGTTTGATATGAAATGTTTTTAGCATTTTGAACAAATACAAATAGATGATAGACACACACACACACACAAATAGACGACATAAAACTTGTATAATTTGATTTGGAGAATATCCTCAAAACTAGGCTATTCACATATCATCCGACTCAGCCTTAATGGTTAGTATTTTCTTATTTTTCTGAATTGGTAACTCTATTTTATTGGTCTTTATCGATGTTGAAGTGAAATAATCAACAAATAGTTATAAACGTGAAGAAAAACAATTTTATAAAAAATAAAGGAGTAAAAGAAAGAGAGTGAGAATGAGGAGGGGCATGCGTAGAAGAAGTTAATGATGGGATAAGGGTAATATTGGAAAATCAAAGTAGAGGCGTGGCACTTGTCAGCTTCATTAAGCTCCAGAACTCAAATGTTTTTCATTATTAACTTTCGTCGTTTTAATGGGTAAAATCAAAGTTTGTAAAACATAAGGGGTGTTTAAGAAATGAATCAAGAGTAAAGGGTCTAATTTACAATTTCGAAAGTTTTCCCCGACCAAAAGAAAACATCAGACCAAATACCGATCTACGGCTACGAATCAATGGAAAAAAGCATATATATAGATGCTTTCGCTAATTATTTTTTTTTTATAAAAATTTTAATCTTCTTTTGCACGGTTTTGGGTTCTCTAAAAGGCTGAACCTAAAAAAGAATATATAGAAATAGAACAGAGAATATTTTAAAGGATCTGAAAAATTACCAACTTTTTTTCTTACTTAGTTTCAAAAAACAAATTTGTGTTCCTCAAAAGCTGCTATTGCTGCAATAAAGTTATCTTTTTCATCTCTTTTTTTTTTCTTCACTTCGTTAAAAGGAAAAACCAAAAGAAAATAAAAAATAAATAGAAAGAATATACGAAAGTAAAATATCTTTGTCCTCACGATTCCTTTAAACTAAACATCAATCACTTTAGGGGGTGTTATTGGTTTATTAATTTATAAATCCATATAGAATTTAAAAATTTCTATTAATTATGAAATCAAGATATATGGATTTTGAAATAACATGTGTTTACCCATGGATTTGAATCCTTCTATTTTTCTCTTTCAATTCCATTCAAATCTATTTAAAACATAATTTGGATTCTCAAATCCAAAAACAAATGACTAAACGAATAACAAAGGATTTTAACTAGTATTTATAATTCATAGAACCAATAACACATGATTTTAATTAGGATTTTCAAATCAATGATTGAATAACAAATGATTTTTGTTTGGATTTCTAATTCCTTATAAATCCATGAACCAATAACCCCTCCTAAAATTCGTGCCGTCTTGGGCAGACCCAAACCCAATGGTTTCACACACACAAATATAATTAAATATCATATGTTATTTTTTTTTTTATTAATGTTTATTTGTGAATATATGGGCTTAGCCCAACAAAGGGGTAAAAAGCCCAATAAGGTAACTTTCAAAAATTGTTTACAAGCCTTTAGAACCGGGAAGATCAATCCATTGGAGCTCAATCTCGACTTCACCACGCTCGACGTTACGGAGTCGGAGACAAATGTTCTGAACGATTCGATCGTTGATCCAACGGATGTAGCTTTCTTCGGCTAAGCAGTTGCCACGACTCGGACCAATTGTCGATATGATGGTTCCGTCTGGTAAACCGGATAGCTCCATTCGTAAGGCTTCAATGTACGGTTTCAAATCGATCTCTGCGTCTCCCATTTTGTCGTCCTTGCTGAAGAAGTCGTGGTCGTACACAATCTGTTTTTGATATAAACAAATACGATGTGTTAATTTATAGACCGGTCCGGTTTAGAAAACAGTGGTTTAATTTGGAATTTACCAGAGTAAGCGGGAGATTCGGGTCAGTGACTGTGAATGACAAATCTTCTTCCCATTGTGGGTTTACGTTTTTCTTCACCACTTTGGTTTTGAGTTTCTGCAAAAGAAATTTGAATTCTGAGTCTATGAAACAATCGTTGAAGTTTGTGGAAATCGAGAGAAAGTGAGAGAGAGAGAGAGAGAACCTGGCGACCTAGCTTGAGGACGACGTAAGGATCGCTGCTGGAAACATCACGTACGGCGAGGTTGACACCGCGTTTGACGCGAACGCGGAGGATACCTAACAGATTATCTAACAGCGACATTCTTCTCCGACGAGACGAGATGGCGATTATATTGATTCGAACAAACGAATCAGAAACCGTATGAATGGAAGTGAAATGTGGATACTACTCGAATAATGTTGATGATGATTATTATAAGGGGGTGATTGGATTGTTAAATATATATATTTTTCATTATTATTTTGTTTAGTTGAACGTGAGGACCGCTTAAACACAAGTTTGTGGCCTTGTGGGAATCATATATATATTATATAAATATAACATAATGAACAAAGATATAAATTGCAATTTCAACGATTGTTCATCTTCGTGGACAGTTTAATAAACAAAAAACAAACATGCAAGTCATAAACACTTGCCATTTTCTGCAACCGACGTTTTCTTTGACATCAAAACAACGGCTTTGACCATTGTTTCCAGGTTAATGTTATTTAACACATCTTTGAAAATTACGTATGTGTAGAAAATATAAAATTCTCAATCAACTTTCATTCGGGTAAAATAATATTATAGAGATTAAACATATGTTTCACCGAACTAACTAAATCCATAAGTTATTGAGAGAATTTGTGTAAATCTTACAAAACAAACCGGCTTTTAAAAACAGACCTGAAAATTTCTTGAGGTGTTCTTATTACTCCACTTCAAAATGTCATAATATGTACGTTACCATTATTCTACTCTCAAAACTTCATACGGGTAAATAAAAAATTTCGAATTGCTCTACAGAGAAACCTACAATGCAGTCCCGATATAGCCTATGCTTTAAACTAAATAGTTCAGTGTGTGATGAGTATGGAACTAAGTTGGAACCTGTACAGAAAATTTCTGGTCTCTCTGGTATGATCGTGTACCCTTTTGTTTCACCTGGTTCAGCCATTACTGGGGAAAGGCAACTGGTCCAGCGAGGGGCTGTGCCACGTCTGCACCAACGGGATCCAAAACCACTTGTCTACGTTGTCTCCCCCGGAGATATAAAACGGTCATAAGACAGAGGAAGAGAGTTAGTATGGTCGCATTACCTTCTTCCAACACCACATTCTCTACCCATTCCTCCACCTTTCGATACACTTCTGGTAAGGAATCCAGTACTTGCACCTGCATCCATAAATCGTGACCTTGGTCATTCATTTTCACTCAAACAATTCCAGTAAGCGATAAATCATCACTCTCCATCCCTCTCTCTTACCAGGGCAGTATCAGCATAGTTTCTGCGAACCCATACACTCGCAAGAGCTAGTGTGACAGGCAATTTGGCAGCAGCATCGCTCTGGAGGGCCTGATCGTAGTAACGTTTAGCAAGATGGAGATCGAAAGGAAGACCTTCTCCATGCTCATGCATATAACCGAGGTTGAACATTGCTTGCGCATTTGATTGAGATTTAGCATACATGTACGCCTCTGCTGCACGCACGAAATCCCTCTCTGTACCCTGCGAACATGAGTAAGAGCCTTATTAAATCAGTTAAAGTTTAGATTTCATGAATGAGAAATATGTTCTTTTGGAAAAATCAAATGGGTATGAATGGGATGCGATAAGTGATTATTAAATGCATTGTCCGCATGTTGACAGTTTTCATGAAAATAGAGCAATTCTTAAACTTCAAGCGTAAGTAGACTTACCCGACCGTAGTAGTATGCATCTCCAATAAGCAATGCAGCATGTTCGTTTCCTTGTTCAGAGGCACGCCACCACAAAGAATGAGCCCGATCGTGCCTCTCCTTATCTGTGCAAAACCCAGACACTCCCATGCACATGCTTCTTTCACCATATTTATCGAGGATCCAGGCAGCATTACTTTGTGCTACTTCATAACCGAGCTCTGACATTCTCAAATACAATATAAAAGCCTTTCCCACATCACCTTTCAAGTAGGCTTCAAGAGCCCATCTAGAGAGAGAACTCCATGGTCCTCTTTCTGCTACTAGCTTATAAAAAGTCGTCGCCTATAACCAAAATGCTAGGAACGTGAACAAGTAATTTGAAGTACAAAATCCCACAATGATGTATTCAGAATGCTCAGAGCAAACTACAAACACACCTTAAATGGATGGAAATAAAAATAAAACTGTAAAAGCATGACCCAGTGAAAACTTAACAGATTCCTATAATTGGTTACGGTTTAGCAAATTACACCACCCCATCCTCAAATTGTATAACGAAATTCTTGTAAGAATATGCAAGAATCGTAAAATATTGCCAATGAGCTCCAGTCAATTAATATTCTGAAGTTTATTAGTCAATAAAAGTTAGAGTTTCATTGTAATTGAACTGCATAAATATAAAACTATTTGTATTTGACATTCATGGTAAGGAAGATAGTTACCAATTTACCATTTCCAAGTTCTTTGTAAGCCCAAAGCCCGTATGGAACATCTTGGCGAGTTGATAAAAAGCCTTTGGTTGACCAGCATTGGCAGCAACAAAGAAATATTTGGTTGCACGCCTCACATCCTTCTTGACTCCAATGCCTTTAAGATACAACACTCCAAGGTTATAATGCCCGCTAGGATCTTCATTATTAGCAGCCATCTCAAAGTATTCTCTCGCCTGCACTTGAAGGGAAATATCAACGGGATATCTTCAGGTCATAAGATATGTTGAAGAAAAAACTAAAACAAAAACTGCATCTATGATGCTTGCGGAGTGCCACTAGGCGACTCGTACATGTCCTGATCACCGCTAAAGATGTGATGCCAGCAACACTTAATAACACAGACACGAGAGGTGATTAAGTTTCGTAATTTAATTGTTAAGAATAATTTAAAATGTTTTACATACATCCAAAATTCTATCCCTTGTCTCAGTTCCATTATCATATTGTTTAAGTTAAACTAAATTTCTAGTCAAATAAAGAAGCAAAGCCTGGTAAGCATGAAGGAAAGTTACCTTAGTGTAGTTTCTCGTATCTACTCCATAGCCTTTAACATACAAGTAACCCAGGCCATTAAATGCCGAATAGAGACCTTGTTTTACCGCAAGTGTAAGACATTCACGTGCCTTGTCATAATTTCTCTCAACACCAGCTCCTCTAGCATAAATCTCCCCAAGAAGTTCCATTGACATCGGCTCTCCTTTCTCTACAGCTTTCGAAAACCAGTACAACGCCTTGGCGTGATCACGCCTTAACCCTCTCAAACCAAAGTAATAAAACAGTCCAATTTTGTGCATTGCCGCAGAATTCCCTTTCTCTGCCTGGTATTCCAATATCTGAAAATCCTCGTCTTCCTCTCCACGCGATTTCCTAAGTGCATCTTTATTCTCCTCTGTTCCAATGTGGATTCTAATTGGCTCAACCATTGGAGAATCCTTAGATATCAAAAAGCTATTCACTGCTGTCTCAGCTAGTTCAGCATATAACTCAACAGCTTTATCATGCATCTGTGAAACGATCACAAGAACATTTTAAAACTGCTAATTCGATAAGTTCCAATTGAAATGTTTAGTGTTGCTTACATTTTGTCTAAGATATCTGAAAGCAAGTGCCATTTTGGACTGCATATTTCCTCCCTCCGACGCGAAATGATGATGCAAAATCGATTTGCTTCGGCTCGTCTCACGCATCATCCCAATCCCGTATACGAATCCCATCACCGATTGTGCGTGTGGATCTCCCGAAGAGGCAGACGAATCTATCTCTGAAACCGCTTCCTCCATCAACGTAGTGTTTCCTTCACTAGCCGCCGAGAGAATTTTGTGGAGTCCGGAGTAATACTGCGGCGAGGCAGAGGCGTGGACGGCGGAATCATTTGGCTCGAAGATTGGACGCCAGGAACCGGGATCAAGCTCCTCTTCGGATTTGGGTTCGGATTCACCAAATTCATCGAAATCGGAGGATTCGTCGGCGCCGTTATCACCAAAGCCGCCGTTGAAATCATCGTTGGAGAGGACGAGAACGAAGGGACGAGCTTGAACGCGATGAATGTAGACTGAGAGTATGAATAGAGAGATGAATATGATACTGTGACCTGAGACTCTCATTCTACCTTTTCTCCAATTTCTTCGTCGTTGTAGTTTCTCAGTGTTTCGAGTGTCGACTGTCGATTTGAGAGAAACAGGGAAGAAGAAGAAGAAGAAACAATGGATGAGGGTAATGACGTAATTTTAGAACACTCCCTTATATTGCCACGTTGCATTATTATCACTCATCCAACAATCATCCGCCACGTAATCATGCAATTTAGTCACTAACCTTATCAATAAGTTGTTAATTTTTTGTTACAAGTATTGCACATGCTAAGGTATGAAATGGGTTCTCTTGGAGTAATCCTTATTTCAAATTTTCATCAGCATCTAGTGAGATTCTTTGGATATTTTCTTACAAAATTTGCATAGAATTAATTGTAAATTTAAATTTTCTCCAAATTTAGTTTTGAATCTTACATGTATGCACATAGTATCAAAACAAATCAGACAAAACAGGTAAATATAATCCATGAAATTCATAAACAAATCTCACCTTCATAATTAACCAAAAAAAGTTATTTATATGCCTCATCTTCCCCTATTGATAAAAACATTGTCAACAAAAGAAAGACAAATAACAAAAAAAAATAATGGAGATTAGCAAATTTCTGGCCGTAGTTGTAGCCGTCGTAGTCCTCTACTCCGTGCAGGCAACAGCACAAGGAGGAAACCCTCAGACGATGGCTTGCGTGCAAAAATTGGTGCCGTGTCAGCCGTACATACACACGGTGAATCCGTCTCCTCCGCCATCGTGTTGCGGGCCAATGAAAGAGATCGTAGAGAAAGATGCACCGTGTTTATGCGCCGTTTTTAACAACCCGGAGATGCTCAAAGCCCTAAACCTCACCAAAGAGAACGCTCTCGTGCTTCCCAAGGCATGTGGAGTTAATCCTGACGTTTCAGTCTGCTCCAAAATCGCCTGTGAGTGATTATTCTTTTATTAATAAGATCCCATAAATATATAACTTAATTAAACATCTTTGATAAGTATAAATTAAACGACGTTATTTTAATGTTTTTCTCTTGCAAATGAAGCTCCTTCGCCTACTGCGACGCCGGGATCAACCAATGGTATGCACTATTCGTATTTATTTTCAAATTTGTTGTTACATTTTGTTGAAAAAACTATAAAATATACAAACGCTAATACTAATATTTTATCAAACTAATTGACATGGCCTTCTTAATGAACAGGAACCTCTTCCGCTTCAACTATCAGCTTCAATCGATTTAGCTTTCTGTCTGCTTTTGTGGCAATGATCTTCTTTTGATTATGTCATTTATTTTATTTATAATTACATGTATGTGTTTTCTGTCATCAGTGTGTGTTTAAGTACTTTTGTTTTAATCTTTTATATACAATCCTTAGTCTTGATATGAAAAGATTTTTTTAAAGCACAAAAGTTTTGGCCAACCCCAAAATCACCACCATTCATATTAGAAAGACGATAGTTCTAAAGTGTCTACCACGCCAGCATCAACCAATGGGGTATGAGACGACATTCGATTGGTGGTGTTTATGTTTTAAAATCATAATCAGAGTAAAGCTAGTAAACATATACTGTATACAAACATGTAACTGCATCGACAATAGCCAAAAACATATACAACAAAAATGAAAATGCTGACAAAGAAGAATCAACTAGCATGCTGTATATCTCATTTTATGTAATTCAAACATTAAAAAAAAAAACTAAAATAATTTTAAAGAAAAGAGATGAAATAGTCGTATAAAGATACAAGCAAACAAATAAAAACTAAATTTGATTTCAGATTGGATTCGAGTTTTTGAATATGTCGTAGTTGTTCTATCATTAAATCTAAATCTATGCTTCCTCCTTTTGTGACTTTTCTCGTGTCATCAGTCATCACCATCTTATGAGAGTTCACTATTTATTTTCAAAAAATGATGATCATTACTCTTTTATTTCGTACCAAACCTCAACTCCAAACGAATTCAACAATAATTAAATTGATACATGTTTATCAAAATGATACCTACATAAAAAAAAGTATAAGATTCAAAGTCAGGATCGGCTCAATAAATTTGAAGTCCCTAAGCTGGAAAAAAATGGGTCATTTCTCTCATATTTTTTAGACAAATATATATTTTGGACCCTAATTTTAGAGGATTTCATTCAAAAAAAGGCAAAAATAATATTTTACCATTTTTTTTTTTTGGTAAACAATAATATTTTACCATTTAGTAATATTTTAATTTACATATTTTTATATACTAATTAGTGCTGGTACATTTTCACTTTCCCAACATTAGATTACCTGGCATTTTATCTTTATCCAATAAAGACTAACAAGATTATAAGGAAATGGTATACTTGTCACATGCATAATACTGGTAATTAATATTTAGTCAATTTGCAGAATCCAAATTCAGACATTTTGGATTTTGTAGTCTTAGTCTTATCAACACATTCAATTGTATAATAACAAATCCGGTAACTACTATACTAAGAAACAAAACTTTACATGCATGTTTGACCAGCCCAGGCCTAATAGTTGTACCCACCAATATTTCCTAGTTAGGGTAAAAGAAAACCCACCAATATTTTCTTTATATATAAGATAATATATACTCAGCAAAACAAATACTGCATAACAAAAAAAATGAATATCACAAGAATTTTCGGTGTAGTCACCATCGTCGTCATTCTCTACTCCGTGCAAGTTACAGCACAATTATTCGGAGATGTGCAACAGGCAATGCGATGTGTATCAAAACTGTTGCCATGTCAACCGTACATTCACTTGTCGATTCCTCCGCCGCCGTGGTGTTGCAATCCGATGAAACAGATCGCTGAGAAAGATGTGTCGTGTCTATGCACCGCCTTCAAACATCCAGACTTGCTTAGGTTCCTTGCTCTCACCAAAGAGAACGCTCTTAATCTCCTTAACTCATGTGGTATTAATCATGATTTGTCACAGTGCAACAAGATTAATCGTGAGTTATTTTTTATCTCTAACTAGCTTTTGTAATCTGAATATGTTCTTATTGTATTAATTGCGTAGATTATATACGCATTCTGATATTTATGTTTGTTTTTTTAACGAAGCTTCTTCACCTGCTGCGTTGCCTGAAGCTGCGACCAGCGGTATGCATTTACTTCCTCTGATATCAAAATTAATTTTTCTGATTTGCTATTCAATTTAACATTTCTTTAATAATTGATTTGTGGAGTATAATACAATAAAGAATATTTTTATATTTTGTTGTGACCTTCTTATTGAAACAGGGAATTCTGGCAGCACCAAGAAAAATGCAGCTCTATCCATCAGTTTTTTGGGATTTAGCTTTGTATATGCTTTTCTCGGGATGATCTTCTTTTGATTTTTCTTTGTAATTCTCAGAAATATGTTTTATGTAACTTTTTTTTGAATTACCTAACAATTTTTCCAGTGTTATCGTCTGCTAAATTTACTAAGCACCAATCAACTTAGAAAGACCTAAGAAAATGAGAAGCACAACAATTTCACAATGATTCAAAGATTTGATAGGTTCTAAGATTTTTCTATTGTGGCTGTGTGGTTAACAATGATGGTTAGACTATTACAAATGTATTAAATGACAAAAATACTTGACCCGACAAAGACTCCGGTAATTAGTTTGGGTTTCAATTTGAGACCTCTAATTATAAGAAAATGAAAAAAAAACTATAAACAATTTTAATATTTAAATTGTTTCCGATAGATCTGTAACAATTTTAGACTAGACGAAAATCTTTATCTTCTGCGAAGTAAATTTGTGATATTTTTAGCTCCTAATGATGGTGAGAAACATGAACCTCTTTTTGGCATGAGCAAAAAAAGGTAAAAATCTGTCTAAATATTAGATTCTCTAATTTTCTTGTAAAGTCATTGTTAAAAAAACTCTGTTTGGTAAAAGCAGAAATATGTCTAAAAATTAGATTCACAAATTCCGTTTAAAAGTCATTTGCTTGCTAAAAATAATCCGTAAATACCGTGTTGGCATGAACACGTGTTCATGTTGTGTGTAATAGAAACAGATAAGCAAAGGACGAGTCACCCACTTGCTTGCTTCTCCACGCGCTTGCCTTTCACTCTCTTCTTCTTATCCCGCGTTCTTTGGAACTTGGACTTGGGTTTGTTGAAATCAAAAGTTTGATTTTTATTGGCTAAAAAATGATCTAGAAGATAAAGAATAAGTACTATTTGAGAATTGAGATTAGTACTAAACCTCGTTCTAACTTCTAATCTGAATTTGTTAAAAAGTTTGAAGAGTTGTCACTTGAACTAATCTTAAAAAACGATAAAGACCGAAGTCAGAAGGTTATAATTAACCGAAAAAACCGAACTAGTCAATTCAATAACCGAAACAAAAAACCGGAATCTCGGTTACTTAACCGAACTAATTGACCAAAAAAATAAATTAATTTTAAAATAGTTGAACGAAGAAGCGCGTGAGATTTACCATATAAAGACGCTCACAAACCCAATCTTCTTCACAACTCACATCTTCTCATCTTCCTCGTTTTATCCAAATCCTCTCTCAGATTTCATCAAATCATTTCTTGCTTCCGATCTGAAATTGCGGCGGAGAAAGAAAAAGAAAAAAAAAAATGACTGAATTCTATGTTTCTCTATTCATCTCAAACGTCACTTCTCACTTATCTCCGACATTTGATAACATCCCGTCGAAGAAAATCGTACCGACACCGATTGAGAAAGATGTCTCTTTAGTCTCTCGCACCGGACGAGATCTGCAACGTTACAACACCGCAGGGTATCGTCAAGTCGTTGGGTACGTTCAATTTTGCCAAACCCTAATTTTTGAAATTCTAGGTTATAAATTTGGGGGAATTTTATGATTTCTTAAAATCTGATTATATTATACGACAATTATTGCAGATGTGTACCATATAGATACAAGAAACATGGTGGAGGAGAAATTGAAGTGCTTTTGATAAGTGCACAGAAGAAAGGGAAAGGAATGTTATTACCAAAAGGAGGTTGGGAGATTGATGAATCAATAGAAGAAGCTGCTTTAAGAGAGACAATTGAAGAAGCTGGTGTTACGGGTCAGCTTGAAGAATCACTTGGGAAATGGCAATACAAAAGCAAAAGACATAGTATGATTCATGATGGTTACATGTTTCCTTTGCTTGTTAGTCAACAGTTTGAGCGATGGCCTGAAGCTGACATTAGACAACGTAAATGGGTTTCTTTGTCTGAAGCGATTGAGTTGTGTCAGAATTCTTGGATGAGAGAAGCTTTGGAAGCTTTTATTAACCGGAAATGTCAGACCAACTAAGGAGGATAATGTGGAATCACTGGGAAGAAACAGAGGTTAAGTTTAGTCTTGTGATTTGATTCATTCATTTGTTAATGATATTAGTTAGACTAATTTAAAAGCACTGATTGTTCTGAATGTTTGTCTTCACGACATGTAATGTGTACATATATAAAATGGATCAATCTTCTAGATGTTAAATCAACTGGTGTGATTTCTTTAAGATTTTCTGTTTGTTGTTGCTTTCTTTGAAAAGAATGCAGATTAGTCAGTGATGGTCGGATAAATATAGACGAGACAGGAAAACGAAGTAAATTTATAACAGAACCTAAAAAAAAACACAATGTCAAATTCAGGTTGATGGGTTTCATTTCATTATTCATAGTCCAAGATTTCAACAGTTGAAAAATAAAAATAACAAACGAAGTAAATAAATATGAAAATACCAATTATACCCTCAAAGTTTAGGGGATAGGGTCCGGAAGTTGGGGAAGAAGAAGAAGACGACGGAAACAATGGCAATTAGCTTAGGGAGGGTCGTCGTTCCGTCGTGTACGATTCCTGGAGATCGGCTCTTCGGACCAAACTTCACGGCCATCTGCAGCGTCTCTTGCGGACGAATCAATGTCGGAACCGGCGTCATTTTTGCTCGGCGACGCCGTGACATTGGCGGGTTTTTAATAACTAGCTGTCTCTCACCGGATTCGTCTTCTTCTCCACCGTCTTCTTCCTCCGGGACGAAGACGAAACTCTATGTCAGTGGTAAGTTAGTTCCCTTTCTTGTTTCAGTTTTGTTATATGTTTCTGTTTCCAATTCTTCATCTTGCATATCCTAATTTGTGAATGATGCTTCTGTATTGGAACTTTTTGGTTATACAATTGTGATTCTTCACTGTTTCTTCGAGTAATATGTATGACATTGGGAGCTTCCTGTCATTGAGTTACTATAAGCTTAGGATATCTCCAAAATATTAGGAGCAGTCACATTTGTGGTCACCAATTATGTAGTTAACAGTGTTAGATGTTAAACCTCGCGTTATAGCTTTAAATGTTAGAGAGAATGGAATGATATATTTGTTTGTGGGGTTGTTGAGCCTTGTGGAATAGCCTCACTAGTTGTTTTCGAGAAAGTTGTCTCGGTCAGGGAATGTCTCTGTTTGGTTACTTTCAGGAATAGCATGAACTGGTGAGATTATTGGGTTTTGTTACACCTTTTCTAATGGTACCACTGATGAAATAGGGAAGTAGATATCTTTCTGCTGTTAATTGTGGTTGTTCAATTCATTTCTAGCAACACACTGTTATAAGCTTGTTTTCTATGTAAAGGGATTGGTGCCAGTTGAATTGTGGTGAATTAGAGCCTTAGACATGGCCAAAAGAGAAAGCAGTGTTAATTCTCTTGTTTCACTTTTCAGCTTTCTACAATCTTTTTGATGCCTTTTCGTCTATGCTTTCACTATATGAGACTTGAACTCTCATAAAATGGATTAAGTGATTGATTGGTATTGACTTGATTTTGATGGTGTGGATTAAGGTTTGGTATTGACTTGATTTTGGTGGTTTATCACAGGGCTTTCTTTCCGCACAACGGAAGATACCTTACGGGATACTTTTGAACAGTTTGGCAAGCTTATACACAGTAAGCATAAACCTCTCCTTTGTTCCACTTGTGTTAAAATTTTACAACTGTAACTCATGTTCTTGATTGCGTCCCCGTGTAGTGAACTTAGTGATGGATAAAGTAGCTAATAGACCAAGAGGTTTTGCTTTCCTACGGTATGAAACAGAGGAGGAGGCTATGAAAGCTATTCAAGGGATGCATGGAAAGGTACTCAGCTTAACATTACACTCTTGTCTTTCATTCTTATATCGTTTATCTGATTGAGAACACTATAGCAAATTTCTGATTTGGTATTTATACAGTTTTTGGATGGAAGGGTTATATTTGTGGAGGAAGCTAAAACCAGATCAGATATCTCCAGAGCTAAACCCAGACCAGACTTCCCCAAACCTCAATCCAAACCTCGCACCTTTCGGACGTGGTAGCTGTTTTGATTTTGTCTTATCACTGTGTAATGAATTGTAAAATCTTCATGTAGTTTTTAGATTATACAATGGAGTCAGTGGTCAATTCTTACCAAGTTTACCTAAGGGAAATTGTCTAAAAACTAAAGTAACATTATTTTAAATAACATAACTCATGTGAAAAATGCATAATATAGCTTTCAAAAAAGGAGGTAAAATCAATGAATGATGAATCATAGTTTGTGATACAAAAAAAAAAACCTAATCAAAAATAGTCTTTACCTATTCCTTTTGGGATCTACAAATTTAGTGTTAATTATGAATCAGAAACTTTTTGTAATAGAGTATTTTGGTCCAGAGAAATATAGTTATGCAAGATTCAATAATTTAGGCTATAGTTCTTTTCTTTTATGTTTTTTTTTTGATAAATAAATTTAGGCCATAGTTTAGTCTCAAGATTTATTTAAAAAGTACACGTATTTATCTATTTACACAAGCTGAAGCAACTGCTATATCTTTGATCAGATTATATAAAAGTAGTTTCCTTTTTTCCTTATCTGAGGAACCAATTTCCATTTTTTTTAGGTTTTGTTTTCCTTTTACGAGACGTATCACTTTAGTCTCTATATATACTAAATATCGCATACGCTGAAATTTTCAAAAGCCAGATTAAGAGTTAAGTTTCATAGTCTCTCGACTCTCAATTCGATTTTTTTGTCTCTCTCTCTCCAAATCTCTTCTTAAATTCATATTTGGTTCTTCAATAATTGATACGAAACGAAACATGGCGATAGAGAAACAAGATATTATCGAGTCGCAGATCGGACTCAACTTGTTCTCAAAGCCACGTTATAGTAAGACGGACTGCGAAAAACTCTGCTTCCTCGATTCTCAGACATTTAACTCCTTTGGATCACCAGCTTCTATTGATGCAATCATCATCATCGATGACGATGAGGAGGAGGTTACCCTAGAGCCGAAGAGGAAGAAGCCGAGATTAGGGTCTTGGTGGGACAACGTTGAACCCTTCGACGAATTAAGTTGCGTGGTCAAGGGGTCACCGGAGGCAAAGGAAGACAACTATGTTGCATCAAGAGCAGATTCATGTTTTTCTTCTACTGATCCTCACGAGACGAAGAAGAACGACGATGAGAGGTCTCTACCGAAAAAGAAGGAGAACGACGAGAGTCTCGGTGAAAGTACTAGTAGGAATAAGGGTTATGAACACGTGACCCTTGAGGATTTAGGGGTTTCGGTGGAAGATCTCAAGAGTGTCCCATGGGAAGTGTTACATCCTACATGGGAGATTAGGTCGGATCCATGGCTTAATGGCTACATTGAAGACCTTGGTCTCTCTTTAGTTTAATTGCTTCTTTTAGTCTCTCGTGTATGTTTTGTTTGTTTGGAATTTGGATGCTGCTTTTTCATTCTGCCTAAATCGAAATTCTTGACAAAAACAGTTTTTCTTCGGTCAATTCTTTTGTTTAAAGCAAACATCTACACTACCAGAGTGATATTGTTAGCCATATATCCATCTCGTCCATGCGAGAATTTTAAGTTCCAAACTGTCGATCAATTCTAAATTACCATTAGTTATTTAAAACTCATGAAACAAGGATATTCCATAAGTACATAACTAAATATAAGTATATAACTCAATTCGCGAAAAATTATATACCTCAATCAGTTGTCACTTGTAATATTTGACTTCGTTCATACTTTTTTTCATCTAAAACTCCATAAATCTCAATTGTAACACTGGAATAATCTCCAACTAGATAACAACCCGCACGACGTGCGGGGTGAAGTGATTCAAGTAAAATTATTATGATTAAAATTATTATCCGGGATCCAAGATCATATAAGAATATGTTTTACCCGTGAAATATTTGAACCTTGAATAAAGCTTCAACGTGATAAAAAGTATTGACGAAATGTTACCATTTATGGCAATATGTCTTTCCGTATGTTTTAAAAATTTCGAGATTTTGTAGTATAAAAAGGATTTTTTTTTTTTAATAAGTATAAGAAATCCAAAATTTAGCAAAGATGAGATTTGATAGTTTCCAAGCTAAGATTTTGTAGTGTTCCAAATCTAAGATTTTTAGATTATGAATAGATTATTTACGAAATTGTTATAATGTGGCCAGATTTTGGTTTATATACAAATGTGGTTATAATGTTTTTCTTCGATATAAATATAGGCAAATTTATATAAATGTATATAAAGAAAAATATAAATATAAAAATAAAGTAATATAAGATAAACAAAAAGTGTATGTTTTTAATTATTAATGGGATATATGGATGTATGAGACTAATGACAAATTCTGTAAATAGTCTAATAAATTTTGGATAATTATCTAAATAGAAGTCAAATCAATGTGAGAGCGACACATCAGGGTGGCAATCTTGTTAATAACACATGATGGTAATGTTTTTTCTAAAAAATGTTTCTCTATTAATAGGGGATTCTCCATGTCATGATGATTAACGAAAAAAAGAAATTCACCGAACTACAGTAAATTAAGATTTTATAAAAGCCCACTCTAATAATGGTCGTAAATCAACCCAATTTCTTAATGAAACTTAAGTTGCACCAAACAAATCGAAATCGGACGAGGTAAGGAGCCCATTCAGACCCACTCTCTTTGTAAGTGGAAACAAAGACCCACTCAGAAAACAGAGCACAACAACGAAGGACAAAGCAAATGAGTGATGGGCCAGTCATCAATTCAACAAACTCCGAAGCCCAATAATGAAGAAAAAGCCTAGATCTCAATCTGGCATAAAGCCTTTTACAAGTCCAGCCATTCATTTTCTTCACAACGGCTCCACGGTATGTGTTGTAATACAGATTACGACCAAAAGGGGACAAACGATTCCTGAGATTGAGAGGCAACTTCCTGTTCCTGGTGCCAGGAAAGCTCCATTGTCTGTGTCGACATGCGTGGAACAAATGTCTGATTGAGAATTTTTAAATAAAATAAAAACAATTTTGCAATTACACACCACTAAGCAATTAAGCATGTGCTCAATAAATAGACACATGACACGTGCTAAATGCTACATACATATATATGGCAAGAAAAAACATCAACTAAATATTCAAATATCCATACTCTTTAACAACCACAAAATTAAACTTTGTTTGAATCACACAATGTTTAAATATAATCCAAATCGTAACATAAGGTTATATATCAAATAGACATGTCAATCGGGCTAGCCCGGCCCGGCCCGGTCCGAAGCCCGGCCCGGCCGGTCCGAAGCCCGCAAAACCCGCATATGTTTGAGCCCGGCCCGGCCCGGCCCGTAAAAATTCCGAGCCTAGATTTTGAAGCCCGGCCCGGCCCTAACAGGGCTTTTACGGGCTTTTTTGGGCTTTTCTTTCGAGAAAAATAAACTCTTCTAATATATAATACCTCTTGAAAAAAAAAATCTATGTATAAAATGAATCAAACGAAACTTAAATAACCCACTAAAGTCAATCTAGTTTTAAAAAAAGTTTAAAATCAAATAAATAATCCAAATAAATTGTTTAAACTCACATTAAATAAAATATAAAATCATAACACTTATAGTAAGACACAATTAGAAAATTAGGTTTAGAGTTTTTAACTCTATTAAAAAAAATCTTTAAACAAATCTCTTAATTAAACAATAATATTTATAAAAAAGGAAGTTAAAATGTCTTTTGAAGGGCTTTTTGGGCCGGCCCGAGCCCGGCCGGGCTAAGCCCTAAAAACCCTTTAGCCCAACGGACTTAGCCCGAAAGGCCCGATTTTTTTCTGGACATATATTTTTAAGCCCGAGCCCGCTGTTTTTCAGGGGTGGGCCGGGCCAGCCCGCGGGCTTTGGCCCTAATTGACATGTCTAATATCAAACAAATATATGTGAGTTTCAAAACTTTGTCTAACCAAAGATTGTAATTAAAACTTTCTCTAATTTTTTCTTTTTAAAAAATATTCAAAATTATGTATGGTTTAGATTCTGATTTCAAAATTTTGTGGAGCTTATGTATATAAGGCATGTGCATAAATAAACACATGACACATGCATAAAGGCTAAAGCTAAATAAACATAAACTTATGTGTCCTCAATTCAAAGATCTTATCTGAATCTTGCAACATAGTATCAAATATAATAAAAGATTACAAAAGTTGCCAAACATTTGAATACGATGGCCTCAGATTCAGAAATCAAACAGATGGCTGTTAGAAGCTTTTCCACGTTTGCCTAACAAAATGTTTAATCCTCTTTCTTTGGTCCTTCTCATCACCTTATTAGTCATTAACTTCTTCGTCCTTTAGCCTGTTCTTGGTTCATCGAACCTTCACACTTTTCATTTCTAAAGTAGTAATACTATCATTTATTAATAGTCGGTCATTTATTAGTGCTGGTACTAGATTAGTTAGTTACCGTTATTTTCTTACACTATAGTTTAATACCAAAGCCGCCCAAATCTTTCAATTCCAATAACTTTTAGATACGTTATTATCGTTTTTTTAGCGTATAGTACTACTTTTTCCAAAAACAGCAAAATGAATATTGTTTAATAAGATTAGTCATTTTCCAATGTGAACAAATTTACAGTCTGATGCAATTAACCACGTGCGTAATCAAACAAACACTCACAGACGTTGCATTTTTAACGATATTATATAGAGAGGCAAAAAGGAAAAAAAAATCCATTTTAAGATAAGAACAAAATTAAATAAGGAAAAAAAAGAGAGGATATTTAGTTCATATTCACCTTCCTCGTTGTCTCCTCACACTGTAAAAGACTTGAAACTCATATAAAATCTGAAGCTTCTCTCTATTTCTTCTTTCATTTTCATCATCACTCTTCTTCTCTCTTTCCATGGCTTTAGTTCGTGAACGTCGTCAGCTAAATCTCCGTCTTCCTCTTCCTCCGATTTCCGACCGCCGCTTCTCCGTCTCCTCCTCCGTCACCACCACCACCGTCGCTGCTACCTCCGGCTGTAACGGAATCTCCGCCGGTGATCTCGAGAAACTCAACGTTCTCGGATGCGGAAACGGCGGGATTGTTTATAAAGTCAGTCATAAAACCACATCGGAGATCTACGCTTTGAAAACTGTTAACGGCGACATGGATCCGATTTTCACAAGACAATTGATGCGAGAGATGGAGATTCTCCGCCGTACAGATTCACCGTACGTCGTTAAATGTCACGGAATCTTCGAGAAACCTGTCGTCGGTGAAGTATCGATTCTAATGGAGTATATGGACGGAGGAACCTTAGAATCACTACGCGGCGGCGTAACGGAGCAAAAACTCGCCGGATTCGCTAAACAGATCTTAAAAGGATTAAGCTATTTACACGCTCTTAAGATCGTTCATCGTGATATCAAACCGGCGAATCTGCTTCTCAATACGAAAAACGAAGTTAAAATCGCTGATTTTGGAGTTAGTAAGATCTTAGTCCGATCATTAGATTCGTGTAATTCGTATGTTGGTACTTGTGCTTATATGAGTCCGGAGAGGTTTGATTCAGAATCTTCCGGTGGAAGTTCTGATATCTACGCCGGAGATATCTGGAGTTTTGGATTGATGATGCTTGAGCTTCTCGTTGGACACTTTCCGTTATTTCCGCCGGGACAGAGACCTGATTGGGCGACGCTAATGTGCGCGGTGTGTTTTGGAGAACCGCCGCGAGCGCCGGAGGGATGTTCTGAAGAGTTTAGGAGCTTCGTTGAGTGTTGTCTACGTAAAGATTCGAGTAAGCGATGGACGGCGTCGCAGCTTCTTGCTCATCCTTTTCTCCGGGAAGATGTTTGATTCGATTCCTTTTGTAACAGAATCTGGAATCTTAAAGTTGGAATATTAGATTTTATTTTTTGTAGAGTTTTCTGGAGATATTATGATGGTAATTTTTGTACATATATATATACTCCAGAACTTTAAGGGAAAATCGTTCTTGTAAAAACCCTTAATTATTAAGCTCATCAAATTATGTTCTTCAATTTTTCATTCATTATTTCACTGATGTACATAAGTTTTGGTAATCTATATACTCTTTAATTCAAATACATTATTGATAGATAGATAGACCCCAACCGAATCATAGTGACGAAATATTAAATGAAAAAGTAAGAGTCACTCGTGACAAGTGTAGATATCTTATAGTATTAATGTGTATTATTGTAGAATGTTGAATCATAATCAGTCCTTTATTTTATAGTTCATGTTTGTTGGACCATTACATCTCCATAATCTTAAAATATTTCACAAAAAAATATCTAAGAAATCGATTTTATTGTCGTTAAAGAAATGAATTTTATTAGTTATGTATATCATTATTTTAACTATTACAGATTTTTACGATATACTATTAATGTAAAATCTTATAAATTAATGGCGATGCACTTGGAAAATGTTAAATGAGCATAGTTGAAGAAATAACGAAGCCCATTGACAAGAATCTAGTGAATAATTGCAACGTAATTACCCAAGCTATATATAGAGATCTAATCTTTTGAGTTTTGATTATATCAATGATTTGGTTATTTTCTTTGTGGAAAAACAAAAATGCAATAAAAGCAAGTTCCAAAAAAAAAAGAGGGCGGCGTTAGACGTTAATTAGTTGGTGTTTTAAATTTCCAGTTGCCAAAAAAAAAAAAAAACAAAACTAGTTATGCAAAGAAAACAATAATATGGGTCACCAGTTGCTTGCGCAACAATCTCGCTTTGGATGTTCGTCGAAAATTCGGGTGGTTTTGTTTAGCAAGTGGAAGAGTTGATAACAACAACTTTATTATTATTAGTTTTTTGCTTCCTACTTACATCACTATAATTCTGAATAAATATGAATGCTGACCTATTGGCTTACGTTAGCTTTGATGAATCACGATGAAGAAATGTTTATAGGTGGTCACTCTTGAGTGTGACAAAGAAATAGAGGTCACCCCTCTTGACTTGTTGTTGTGACTTGACATATTTGTTGTATATGGCCAAGTGAAGCAGATTTCCAAATTGGTATTTTGGATTATTGTTATTTGGTTTCATTTCTAAGTCTTTATATCCACTTGTATTACTAGTTATTACAGGTGTGTAGATACGATATTAAAATTTGAGGTTACAAAATTATTAATTTATGACAATATACCATACCAACGTCAAGAAGCATAGCAAGAGAGTCCAGATTTGGAGTTTTTTTTTCTCTATATTTTTTCTACTTTTGAGATGAGAAAAATCATTGCTAAAATTGACCAAGAACTATTTTTTCTCTAACGTTTCTTAGTATGAATCAAGAAATTCTTTATTCCACGTGATAGTAATTGTTGGTTTGGAAGAAATATGAAATCTTGTAAGTCAATCGAACTCTTATTAGTCAATATAGTTGAGAGAGGAAATAACGAATCTTATTGACAGAATATAAGAAATACTGCGACTTAACATATGATATCCGACTTAAAATATATCATGTTTGTAGGGTGATTGAAAAATACCAATCCAATGGATTTTCAATCATCTTTAACAAATCTAAATCATATATAACTACATTTTCCAAAATAAAAAGCACCATTATTTATATATTACATCAAAAGTTACAATTTTTTTTGGAGATTTTTTTGTACAGAAAAAAAAACATTGAAATCTAATTCATTTTATTGTAATCAGAAATAAAAACATTGGTGAACAAAAAGACCAGACATCATTCCTAAAATATGTTCGTTCATATATGACTGGGACATATATTGATGGAATGAACATATATCGTCGACCTGATGAAAATTAGAAAGACTTTGAAAATGTAATTGAGAGCCAACTTATTGAAGGTTAAGTGATAGTGTCGTTTGATGTTCTCCTATCTTATAGTTTCTACGATGGAAAAGTAAGTATAAGAAATTTAAATAATATAAAATAACTTTATTATTTTGTAAATACTTTAAAACTGATTTTATTGAAATAATTTTACATCATTTTCAAAGCGTATACAATACGTTAGACATGAAATGTAAAACGAGGGATTACAAGAAGTTTGAGGGATATACCGTCTTGCTTACAGGATGCGGGATTCAATTCATCGATGGAGTGTTCATAGAATTCTTGGGTCTCTAGGAGGATCAATAGGAAGAAATGGAGTTTGGTCGTCTTGTTCGTCTCAAATATCTGATTTATCTTATTTTAAATAAACTATTAGTTTATAATAAAGTAGAAAGGTTTCAATATTTATAAAATATTCCTTTTTGATTTTTAAAACTGATCTTTACAGTTACCTTACTTTTATTTTATTGAAATGTCCTTCTTTATTGTTCTTGTATTTATCTGTTGACTAATCGAAAACAGTCCATTTTTTATTCTGTTTGTCATTTCACTATTTAGGTTGATGGAATGATTTAGGCTTTCTATATAATCTGCATCTCTAATTCTCCATAATACAACGATCTGTTAAATATATATACATATATATATATATATATATATATATAATTTTTTTTTTTCGAATCACTACTTGTATCTTTTCTCATTCACCCTTACCCATTGGTCCACATATAATCAACGCATATTTTTGGGCTCTAATTCCTACCAAACACCAAGCCCACCGTTTTCTCACCACCTTTGAAGATAAGAAGTAAAGACCACATCAAAGAGAAAGTTAGGAGCTGGAATTCGAATCCTAGAAGAGCGCGGTTAAACTTGCATTTTCTACCATCTAGACGCGTTCCAAATGGTAAGAAACATATATCTATATATATCATTTTGATGAATTTTCATTTAGTTTCAGACCATTAATGTATTGGTTGACCAGAGTCCATAAAATCATTTATAGATTAAGGCAGTTTGATTATGCAAAATGTGCCAAACCCCAACAACCAAACATTTCTAATTTGCCATATCCTAAATTTAACTAGGTTACAAATATATATATGCTAGTACATAAACTGAGGCATGCAATCTAGTTGACAAAACAAACAATAGTCAAATTGGTAACACAAACAATAAAAAAATTGTGAAAAATGACAACTGCTAGCGATTATAACGATACTTTTTTTGAAAAAAATAACGATAATTATAGTAGCAACTTAGGAAAAATAATCCCATTTTTTTTGTTGATAACTGTCAAAACGAGATATGTTTACTATAATGGTAAGAAATTACCGACCAAATCCAGTGTAAAAATATAGCCGTATTGAAGAAATATATTTTTTTTTTTTTGGTACAATATTGAAGAAATATATATTACTTCTTGTTAAGGGTGTGATACCAATGACCACCACACAATTTGTTTTTTCTTGGACAAGAGAGAAAAACTATCGAAATAGACAAATCACTTATAGATTCGATATAAATAATAATCGGTATTACAGGTATAAGATAACAAAATCCAAGGTTACAAAAATTATTGATTTATGACAATATACCGACGACAAGAAGCATAGTAGCAAGAGAGTCAAGATTTTGGAGTCTCTTTCTCTCTATCTTCTTTCTACTTCCGAGTTGAGAAAAATCAACCAAGAGGTTGCTAAATCGACCAAGAACTTCCTTTTCCTCACGTTTCTCAGTCAATAATTACCCAGAAAATTTCGCGAAATAATTATTCTTGTCTGAATCAAGAGATTCTCGAGTCAAATGTGATAGTGATTGTTGGTTTAAACGAGCTAAACCCTCTGGTTTAGCCAATCTAATATGGCTCCAGCGATGATTTCTCGTTCGGGTTCGAAGAGAAGATCGTGCAACAACCCGTCGTAGAGCTTGATTGATTTGTCTGACGAGGAAGCTACCTCGTAGAGCTTCTTTGAGGCGTTAGGATCGGTTACTGTGTCGTCTGTACCGTGCATCACAAGAAAAGGAACTTTCACTTTGTTCAGGTTCTGTTGCAAGTGAGCAGTGATTCTAAGGATCTCGTAGCCGGTTTTAACCCGGATAGATCCAGTGAAGACTAACGGGTCAGAGTATTTGGCGATAAGAGCTGCTGGGTCACGAGAAACCGGCATTCCTTTCTTGTTCGCTGCACTGATTTGGTACCTGGGCAGGAGGAACGCCATGATTGGAGCAAGAACCTGTTGGAAACAATACAACAGAGAGAACTGATCAGATTGTTACGAATTGTATGAAAACGCGTAAATTATGACTTGACATTTCAAAATAACTTACTGCGAAGATTGGATGGGATGGTTGGACTCCAACAGCTGGTGAAGTCAATACAATGCCTGAAACTCGAGATTCAATCTTTGGATCCAGCATAGCCTGCACTTAAACTGTTATGCTTAGATTTTTGTAGTTATCAAATGAAACTATGATGTTATTTAACGGGTCTAAAGATGTTACCTTGAGGATGATTGCTCCACCTGTTGAGTGTCCAAAACAGAAACAGGGGAGTCCTGGATTCTCTGTGAATACCTTTTCAAGAAATGATTTCTGCAAATGTGATAGTGTGAGTTTGTTTCAAGTTTCAACAATAAGATGCTTTGGAAACTGAAACCAGAGAGGCAGAGACTCTGACATACCAAATCCGCTACAGCATAATCAAGGGAAGGAACGTAAGCATGAAGGCCATCACTTCCGCCATGACCTGTTGGATTAAAACCAAAATATGTCTCCTCTCAGTCATGATTACAGATTTGGAAGTTCATCATTCAGGGAGATATCAAAAAAAGGCTATAAAGACGCAGAAGCTATACAGAGATATGAGAGATGTTCACGTTGTTTGCGTATATTACAAATCATAGATCCTAAGTTGTCAGAAGTATAAAGCTAAAGATGGGATTCATGTGTCACCTTTCCACACGAATTAGGCACCACCCCAACAAAAATCACAATATCGCCTGCGACATCCAAACACAGAGAGGTATGGTTGAAGAGTTTTGTATCTAGCCTATGAAACAGTTGCATCATAAAAACTCTCATGTTTCTGCATTTCAAAGGTACTAAGCTCTGCATCTATTCATCCAGAATGTGTTTCAAATATCCCACCAAATATTCAGATTAAGACTACTACTACCATGGCTACTATGTCAAAAACTTTAACCCAAAACCTTAAATATCATCAAGATTTGTAGATGAAAACCATGTTGAGGTTTATACTTTGTTAATTTTTCATGTGATCTACGAGGAAGAGGACAAAAAGCAGAAATGCTTACAGTCTATAGAGGCTCCTTAAGCTATGATTAACATCAAAACGATAACAATAAGTGAAAGAGAAGCGAGATTACTTACCGATCCAGTCAATTCCATAGACCTTGAAACCATTAGCATTGAGCTGCTTTGCAAAATCACTATACCTGCCACTGTCAAAATTTTGAAAAAAATAAACTTATGTTAACCTTCCTAATACCAAGAAAAGTAGATAAAACCAAATGGTGCATAACTAAAGAAATAGGTTCAAACCTATGCTCGTTTAATCCATGTAGCAGAACAATAAGTCCCCTGCAAGAACATATAGAAAAAGATAAGAAACCAGACAAGAAAATGATTGAAGTTTACCACTTTATTGACTTCTATTAAACAAAATCAGAGGCATGAAAGATTCAAAACCATATTAAAAACGAAAGTGAGAGTGTTAACATTACACAAATCCAGATTGATTGCCTATCTTTTGAAAGGGACTATACTCTGTACAGAGCGGTCATTATTGACAAAGTCATATGTATCTAATATTATTATACATTGATCCTTAAAAACCACTTTAACAAGAAAAAAACATCTTTCTCGACATTTTCCCAGCTAATCTGCTTCATCTTTTCTTCATAAATCTCAAGAAATGCTTACCAACTAAATCTAATCCTGATACTTGAATAAATTATGATCACTATTAAAAAGTTAGTTCAACAAATATATATATGACTCTCTCTGGTTAAGCAAATCAAACTAATAAACCATAAGAACAAGGAATATATATAATATCTACGGGATCCACCACAATATTCAATTACTCAAAGCTATAGCCAACATATTAATTAGGACCACCAGACAAAAAAAAATCCAATACAAATATCTTCTCTGAACACTTGACATTTCCTAGTAAAACATTTGGGAATATTTGTCTTCACTTACTAATTTCCAGAAACATCCAATTGACAAATATTCTGTAATTAGACAAGACTCACATGAACTCAAAAGGCTAATTATGTATATTTTGAATTGGATCCTAAAGATTGACAAAGACTAATAGATTAATTAAATTCAAATCCGTTAATGATAAAAAAAAACATGGAGAAATGACCTGTGATTTGGGGAAAGAGGTGACCATGACTGTGTAAACAACGTATCACCTCTTTTCGTCGTGAATAGCGAATAATCTCTGACGGAGCTTCCATCGCCGCCTTTATCTTCCAAAACTCGCTTTATCGCCAACTCACGTCGAACAGCAACCTCCTCATCCACCACCGCCGCCGGAACAGACGGAGGCGAAACGCTGCTTTCGCCACCGATGTTCCTCTTCCTCACCACGATCTGCGGCGGAGACCAAACCTTCCTCTCCTGTTTATCGTCTCTGATGACCACCGCACCAGTCCTCCGCCGCCAAACGACGACGCGAAAAGGAAGGAGGAGGAAAAGAATCAACGATTGGATGATCGTGACGAGACGCTTGAGCTCTCGCATCGAGAAGAGTACCCTAACGCGACCGCTTGCTCCAGATGTTAGAATCAAAGTTGATGAATCTGATCCCATCGACATTGTTTCCACCGCCATTGATGATGACGATGACGATGATCGTCGGAATGTTTTGACACTGATTGGGTTTCGAGTTTGAATCCGATTTGTTGATGACCCTGTTAGGGGTAATCTTGGGATTGAATTTGAATTTTTTCCTCTAGCGATTAAGATTGTTCCTTTACTTGAACAGATCATAAACCAAGGAAAATGAATAAGAAATGCAAAAAAACGATTTAAAAAAAAAGAATCGTTTTTTTTCCTCCAAAATTAGCGAAATGGGAAAACTTTGAATAGAGAATCCAAATTTAGGGCTTCCTCTGTTTATATAAACAGGGTAAAAGAAACAGAGCTTTATAATGGCTTATGAAGAAGAAGAAGAAGATGATGATAGTGAAAGGATTTGAGAGAATAATCTTTTAAGGAAATGAACAATTTTTAAATAAACAATTTTTTTGTTTGATTAGTTTATTACTTTTTGTGATATTTGTTTGGAACTTGGAAGAGTTGTCTTCGTACTTCGTAGCTTTGGGATGAGGTATAGGAGAAGAAGAGGCGAGTAGATTCTTCCAGAGTTTACACGTGTAAGGTCAAGATTATTTTCATTTATTTTAAATATACTTTTTACCCCTAAAAGACCGTCCTATCATATGATCCTATCTATAAAAAGCTCTTTCCAACAATTATGAATTTTCTACATACCTTCTTATGTATCCCTTATTTTAAAATATATATAGAATATCTACGTTCAAAATATAACAAAAAAATTAAAACCCCAACAATAATTAAAGTTATTAACAAATTTTTGGCCATGTGTAAGAAAAATCTACTATTTTTTTTGGTGTTATGAATTTTAGCTTTAAAAAAAGAAAAGAATTAAAAATAAATGTCACAAGTATTGGATAATATTTTTATCCAAAAAAAGTATTGGTATTATCCAAGTATGTTAGTTATTTTTAACCATGCCTAGTACGTCACGTCATGATTTTTGGACGATTGTACAATAGAGGTTTCGTGATATCAAAGTTCAATTTGAATTTTATTCATCTTTCTTTAGAAAATAAAAAGTCTCGTTTTCAACGAGGGCCACAAATGAAATTAACCACATGTTTGAAAATAAGAACCACGAAAACAAAACTGTCTTAATCATTCTGGATTTTGGTAACCCCAGAAACTGAAACCACGCATGTTCACTCCACACTAATAGAAAGATTTCAAGACATAATTAAGGAGCATTTAACTATGTTTGCATCAAGTTCTGTGTAGGACAACTCAATTAAATCTAGACTCAGAAATCAAAAAATGAGACTAAAAATCTAGTAATAATTCACCTAGTAACGCATTTTATTGGCACTACTATAGCATAATTAATTTTATAATGAATTGTTTGCAAAGAATAGTCTGAAATTCCGACAAAAAGCCACGTGGAGAAACGCGGCGGCTTATCGTCGTTAAAGAAACAAGAGCAGTTGCTTTTCGAGGGTTACTGACCAGACACGTGGTAAGCATTCAAAGGACTAATATCTTCTACCTTGTTCCACGGAGCAGACACGTGTCACAAAGAACCCCACACGTCGCTTATCCGCTCGTTACCAGTAAGGAATCAGATTCTTTGTAATATGTTAAAACATGTTTCCATGGCTCCAAAACATCGTTTTGCAAAACGCTCACTTCTTTGGACCACTCTCTCTATCTATTCGAGTACCGTCTAATTTCATTTCAACCACAAGCGAATTATACGAGTGTGATAAACATTTTGCCGACATAATTCGTAGGGACACTGAGATTGAGAAAACAAAACTGTTACTTCATTTACAAGGTAGCCTGTATGTCCTGGTGATCCGAATCTGCAAAAGAAAACAATGCTTCTTAACAACCTTTGAATCTTAAAACTAAGTAAATGCAAACTTTGATGCAAAAGAGAATTGTACCTGAGCAAAAGCGTAAATTGCTCTTAAGATTCTAGCGTAGTCAGTCTCGAGCATCTGAATAACTAAGTCAGCCAGTAATGTCCCCCACATCCTGCAAATTCCACAATTATTGTCCGGATAAAAACAAGTTAAGAAGAATTAGATGCAGATCCATATGTAATGTAAATGCTATGTTATCTAGGATTAGAGCAGTGTAAACTACATGGGGCCGAGTAATTGCATCGCTGTTCTTAAGCCAATGTATCTGGATGCAGCTCCTGCAAAGCCCTGTACGATCAATAAAAGTCACTGTAATCACATTATAAGTCGAAACATGGTTTACGTAATGAAGATAGCTCAAAGGCAATAGATAGGTAGAGGGAAAAAAAACGAGAGATGGAAAAAAAATAAATACATGCTTTGCTGCAAGCAGAGCTGCTCGAGATTCCAAGTTAATGGCGGCTAACTGTCCACCCTGTAGAAAGAGTTTGATGTATCGACATATCAATTCGTTACATCATTGACATGTAATGCTTCTCAGGAACTTCATGATTTCATGCTTCTCAAATCCCTGAGTGATGATGAAAAATTCTTATGCAGTATGATGAAATAAATACAGATGCAAACCTTTTTTAGCATCTCTTTCCTAATCTGGTAGTTGGCAGCTTCAAGGAATACTTTTCCCGATAGTTTCTTAGCCAACTATATAGGGCCAGAATATACCAGTTATTTGTTTCGCCTCAGAGAAGAAGAAGAAGTTTAAACACAAGACTGTTATCGATTTCATACCAACTGATAAACTTTGGCAAATGTGATCATGCCGCCACCCTGCAAGAAAATTGAAGAAAGATAAACACATGTAACAAGAATCATAAATTGAGAACAAACATATTATTTCAAAAGTGAGACATCTTAGAACAAGACTACCTTCAGAATCATAGATTGGACCTCTGTAGCACCAACTTGTAGTGCAGCAAGTAGTTCAACTTTCCATTTACTGAGCCCGAGTTCTAAGCTTCCCTTTGCCTCTGAGACTTCAGAATTTTCCCACAAGCCTGGAAAAACCCCTGATGCTTCACTACATAGATAAGTTAGAGGTTGCAGTGAAAAAAAAAGGAGTTCAAAAGAACTCACTCAATTGAAAAAGCTTGCAGCGAAACTAAAGGGGTCACCCCGAATACCTCGAGAAATTGTCGACAAGATAAAGAAAAATCTCTGCTTCTAGGTCTTCAGTTGGCAATTGGCTGGAGCAGGGAATATTCAAATTATTTCTCACAGCAAGTAAAACGTTTTTGTATGAAGGCCTCCAACCCCTATAAAACGAAAGATACTCAAATTCTCTGGTTTGGACTCTCAATGAACATATATAGTAAGAGATGATTGGGTCGATTTCAATTAGATGAGTACTGAAGTTGCAACAATGTCAATGAAACAGATTACCCCATCCAAATCAAGGTTCATATCTACTTCATTGAAAACTTAATACCCTAGCTTGCATCCTAGTGAAGCCCAAAACAAGTAGCTATGGATTGTCTAATGTCAAGGACATAACAAGCAAAGCCTACCTGAGTGTTGAGCGAGCATCTGCAGCGAGAAACAAGAATCTCGATTCAAGAGCTTCGATATAACCATCTCGCACTTGAATGTCTTGGCTTATCATTAACCGGTCACCTCCTCCTTTGTTTGGGATTGATTTCAGTAAAGGGCTGAAGTAGCTGCTCATCAAAACAAAGCAATCCCAAAACAATATTACTCAGAGCACAAAATTCACATCATCACATCATTCTATGCAAGGGTTTAATCAAGCTACTGAATTCTAAACCCAAAATTCCCAATAACTTGCGAAATTCACCTGGGACCAAATAGGATTTTCTCGAGCTCATACAACTCAGAATCGGTAGCGAGTTCGAAAACTAAACGGAGCTCCGGATCATAGGTAGCTGGAAAATCCAAACATTTACAATAAGAGTTAACAAAAACGCTCAAGTGAATTGTACGGGAAGAAAATCTAAACACAGAGCTTCTAATCCACCTTCTGATGGCGATTCTGAAGCCGCAGCTGATGCTAAAGCAAACCCTAGCTGTTTCCTCCGCCAACCGGTTCTAGGAATCTTCACAATGACAACCGATGAGAAAAAAAAACGAAAGGTTGGAAGATGAAACTTAAAGAGAGACACACTGAGAGAGTGAGATAGATAGAAGAGAGAGAGAGAGAGAGTACTTGAAGAGAAAGCTTGTTCAGACTCAGATGACGAGAGAATGGGCAACGATGCGGAGGAGCTACGACGGCGACGGAGACGCTGGTCATCTGAATCAGTCAGTCACTGAGCAACGAGAAATTCTGTTCACAACTTCCTTCCTCTTCTAATTTTTTTTTTTTTTTTTTGGGAGAGAGAGAACCATAATTTTAAAAAAACTTAATTTGATTGCAAAATCTAATCCGGAATTATAGTATATAGTTGTAACAATAAAAATAACATTCATGAATCATTAATCAAAGGACTAAGTACTAAGGATCAGTAGATGATACAAAAAGTTTTTACTACTTAATCAGTTCTAAGAGAATAATAATCACAAGTTTAACAACACATTGTTACATTCTAATCAAAATATCACAAAGTTTTTCTTCTTTTCAGCTCACATTTTGACTGAAGAAGACAGCCACAACTTGTACTTAAGGGTCAGCCACCAAAGGGGCTTGAACCTTTGCACAGACGAGGTTTCCACTAATCAGCGGTTTTTGCAGCTTTTAGTAAGACATCAATTGTTTAAGCAGAGATTGGCTCGTATGGGTATGAAAGCCAAGGGTGCTTCAGAGCCTCTGCTGCAGAAGGACGCTTCTTTGGGTTTATCTCAAGAAGATGAGCCACAAAGTCTGTGAATCCTTGGTCTCCCATTGGAAGCCGATGTCTCAAGGATGTTCTTTTCGGTATCAGGTACTCCAGTCTGTTGCTTTCCTGAACAAACCAATTTTTTGAGAGAGAATGTTCTTTATTAGCATATGTTTCTTCCATTCAACATTAAGTTGCAGAGTTTTTGGGATTCAGGGGTCTCTGGAAAAGACTAACCTGGTTCCTCTCGTAGAGCATTCGGTTTTTTGTGAAGTATTTGTGGGAATCACGTCCCTTGGTAAGCATTTCATTATCGAAAGATCCTACGATTCCCATTACCCTTGCAAGCAAACTGGCTGGAGAATCATTCTGGAAAAGAACCTGCAAAAGTAACTCAATATTAAACACGGATTCACCTTCTAGTCAGAAATCAACAACCAAACTAGACAATATTATCTAGCTAAAACTCCAGAACTTACGTTGCCTGTACACAGTTCAGCCAAAATGCATCCAAGAGACCACACATCTATCTTTTTATCATAAGGAAGTCCCAAAATGACTTCTGGTGCTCGATATGACCTTGACTGGACATAGGAGCATAGGTGATCTGTTTCGAAACAGCTACTTCCAAGGTCAATGACTTTTATTTCACATCTGCTATAACTTTTAACCAATATGTTCTCAGGCTTCAAATCACAGTGTATAAGTCCAAGGCCATGTAGAAACTGAAGAGATTCGAGACACTGGATAGTGATTGACTGTACAAAACGGTACCAAAGAGATTAGGAATCGGATCTATACGTATCTATGATGTATGGTAATGATGAAGCGGACAAACCTGCAATCTTGGCATCGTGAAATAAACTTCACCACCTGATTCTCTGTTAAATTTGTGGAATTCGTATAGATTGGCCTTAAGAAGTTCACATACAATGAGCAAGTGCTCCTGCAAAAAAACAGCCAGGGAACCATTACACCAAACAATCTACGAAGAAATATATTGCAAAGGTATTAATTAAAAGCTCCCAAGGGCATATGATTCACACTTGTGCTTAAATTGTTGAAGAGAAAGACACTAATCCAGAAATGAATGTACAAACTTGCAGAGCTCACAGCATCAACGAGAAAGAAGTAAAATTTTAAAATGAATTACATGGACTATACACATAATTATAAAGGTCATGCTGAACAAATCTGGAATAAGCTCCAATGACTCCATGAAATGAACCATGACCATGAATTAGATAAGTAAGTTATTCAACCGTGGGAAGCTTAACCATTGCAAGAATAAAAAAATTTGGAGAAGCGATGTGATCACTTACCCGGTAGTAAAAGTAATCAAACAACCGTAGAAGATGGTATTTGTCAGCAGGATCATGCTTGTTGACATACTTCAAAAGCTTTATCTCGTCAAGACTTTGGTCAAAGAAGTCTTTGTTGTTCTTTATAATCTTTATACAGACGTCCATTCCTGTCTGTAAGTCATGCGCTTGTATGGCTTTACTGAAGGCTGCTGATCCAAGGTACTCAGTGACATGGTACCGCCCAGCAATGACCGAATTTAAAACCACGTTAAAGTTCTTTTCCTCTTCGAAACCAGTCCTGATAAATATCAAACAAGTAATAAGAGAGCAACACTCAAGCTATATATAAAACTAACACGAGGTAATTACAGTGAATATATCAACTTCAAATATATATTTTCAACGTTAGACACAATACAAAATAGAAGCAATATAGTTAGTTCAATTAGTTATGCTATTTACAATTTTACTTCTTACTTTCTTTCGTTCTGTTATAGTTCAAACCATAAAAGTTGGGGAGATATCTTACCTGTTTTTTCGATGCACAATTTTGAGGTCAAAGGTTTCAAACTCCTCCTCTTGGGCCTTAATTTGTCTAACTTGCTCTTGGACAGCCACTGCCTCTTCATCATCAAGTGCTGTCGCATTGTCATCCCCTACTTCACTACTATCATTTCTATCATCTTCTTTATCAGCATGCTTTCTTTCTTCGCAAGCATAATTTGACAGAGAAGAGGGAGATGAGTTTACAGATTTTATAGACGTTGCATTATTATCTTTCACAGAACTGTGAGAACTTGACGAATCACTACTTTTTCGTCTCCAAGTTGCAACCATATCATCCGTAGCTGTTGAAGCATTCAAACGTTCGGCGTTCCTATCTCTGGTTACTGTTTCACGATTGCCTGACCATAATGATTTACTAGATTCTGCTAACTGCCCATCTTTTTGTGACGAACCAAACGCAAAACCACCATCAGTTTGAATCTTCACATGAAAACTTCCGCTTGAATCATTATCTACAATGTACTCTGGACCATCATTTTTACTTGCTTTCTGTTTATTCTTGTTTGGGCCATCAATATGTTTCTTATCTGACTCGGAGTAAAGCTGTTTAAACCTGGATGCTACAGGATCATGATCACGCGAGTACTCAAAATCTCCCTCACTGCTACCTCCAGCCAAACTGTCACGTACTTCACTGCCAAAATCAGCTGCATCACTATTAATCCCCACACCAATTGACCTGACTGAATCATGCTGATCATCTTCGAGGTAAACATCATCAAGATGAGATTTTCGATGGACATTTATGCCTTTCTTATCACCTAAAGTGACAAGTTCATTTGACTGAGCTACAAACCCCTGCCAAACAGGCTCGTCACGCATCGAATTGAGCAATTCCTCCTCCATTAATTGCCCATCATATTGGGCTAATAAATCATTTTTCTTGCTAGCTGGATAAATTTCTGAGACCGTAAGTCTTCGGTCATTTTCGGAAGAAATAGGTTCAGCATCTTTTGATTGGAGATACTGTTCTCCAGATATATAAGAAGCCTCCTCGGCATAAGACTGATCATCCTCGTCTTTGTTTGCATCTCTTCCATGGTGATCAGGACTTCCGCGGGTCGTTCCTTTCTCATGATCACTTGGATAATCAATTTCATGGGCAAGAAACCATGTTTCATCTTCAATAGGTTGTCTGACATAACCAATGTCGTCATCATCCTCATACTCGTCAGAGTCCCAGTATTCATTACGGTAGTCAACAGATTCACTTAAACCATCACCAATAGTAGCAAAACCGGAAACAAGATCAGATGCGTCCTCTGCTATTCCCTGACTAACTGAAAGCCAGTTTCCCCCAGCAGATTTTTTCCCACCTATATGAGATAATTAGGAGATTAAAACTACTTTCACACCTGAAGTAAAACTGATAAGGTTCATGTTAAACTAAAAAAAGTAAAAAGTGAAGCGACATGGTCCATATAGAACTCAAAAAAAAAAAAAAGCAGAGTGGGAAAGGAAGACAATGACAGCAAACAATTGCAGATACTTTAACATGCAAAATGCTAAACCATTACTTGCTTTCTTTGGAACTGATGCTGGTAATTTGTCAATGCATTGTTCTAATTCATGAATTCATCAAAAATAAAACACGTTACTTCAGCAGATTTGCAGAGTAGCAATATGACAACCACAGTAGTTCCTACGGGAATGAAGTATATGAGAAAAATGCATGCATCTGGAAGATCAAAATCATTAATAAGATACCACATGCACTATCATATAAAACAACCATCATTCAGCAGTTAAAATGGAAACTTTGCAGTTATACGGCTACATTATCAAGCAATCTAACCTGATGAGCTAATTTCTTGTCCAATGGGAACATCAAGGTATGAGCCTATGAGAAGGGCCTCCTCATCATTGATTAGCCTTGGACCTGAACCATCACGTTCAAATCTTTCTTCACAGTGAAGACTCAGAGGATTGTCTTCAGACTTGAGCTTAACAGGAGGCAGCCTAGGAAACTCTTCCTTGCGGGTATCATATACAAGTGGAAAACCTAAACTGCTGATGTTTTTGTCATCAAAAGTGGATTGAGATTTACCAAAGAATAAAGCTCTTGCCACCTCGCTCTCCTGCTCCTTGATTGCCACCCTCACATCACTAATGTCTGCCTTTTTCTTTCCATCTCTTTTGTTCAAGCTGCTAACCAGATTGTAACTGGTTGACGCATCCCCTCTGGAAGATTGAAAAAGAGTATCAACAGAACACTCTTTCCAGTTCTCTGAGGTATCTACGACATCTTCAGTTCTTAAAAGAATGCTACCCTTATAGCTGTCATGCTTCCCAGAATTTTCTACTAGCCGATCAATCTCATTTGTCTCCTTTATTTTCGACCCGGAGTTCCCTTTACTAGAATTTCCAGACCATAAAGTACTCTTATTGCCAAAGAAAACGATATCTTCACCAGTTTCCACTATCTTCTTATCGATATCAGCCAAATTCCCTTGCCTCGACTGTTCGAATGCATAAGAATCCACCAAGCTGCTACTACTATTATCATCAATGTTTCGCTCCAAGGTACCATTTCCGGAAGTAAATTTATAGGAATGAGCATCAGGAGGAGCAGCAGCATCACCTGAATTTTTGGAGAATGTGAAGCTCATCTCACTTGATACAACCGTTTCCTTCTTACTCGGTTTGTCAGCAGCCGGACCATTTTCCCACTTGATAACAGACCCATTGGTGCTAGTCCCACAGTCTACCTCTTTCACAATCAGCTCCTTGGAGACTTCACTATCTCGAGAACCTGACCTCCGAAGTTCATTTGCAGCAACACTTTCATTTGAATCTTTATCCTCAAGCTTAAGTTTCTGAAGAAAGACATTAATGTCAGACCGGTTATTAAGCTCATGACGCAAAGCTTCCTCAGCTTGAGAGAAACGATTATTCCTAAGAAACTCTAAAATCCCATCAACAGAGCTTTGGTCCGTCATTTATTGACCTTTCACAATATACAGGAGAAGAAGCACTAGCAAGAAAATCCCACCAAGCCTGTACCCAACAGAAAAGATGAAAACTTTTCTCTGTTCAGATGTTGTCTGATACGCAAAACCCTCTAACGAAAACAATTTGAAGAATCTTTCTCCCAAAACACATTAGGAGAATCAAAATCTGCCCAAAACCAATACTTTCAGTCACATTTTCAGAAACAAGCCAAGAGAAGATTTTTCCGGCAAACAAGACTCACGTTTGCTCATACGGAATGATGCGAACTTCAATAAGAAAAGAAAAAAAAACCCCTTAGAAATCATGCTCCAAACGCGCCATCGAATACAGCTGGAGATCCGGAGAACAAAAAAAAGACCAAAATTGAAGAAGACAAGGGGCAATAAGAGTGGATCCAACGAGAGATAAAACTTCAGGTATGGCGAAGGAGGAAATGCGCTTACAGATCAAACGAGGAAGAAGAAGCAAGGAGAAGACACGCACGTTGAGGTTTCAATGGATGTAATGATTTCGGACATTCACTGGTAAATTAAACTTAAAATTCCTAAATTTAAAAATTAGGGTTCTTTCTTTTCAATATTGCAAAATTGTGTTCTACTTAATTTTTTTTTAATGATATTGCTAAAATCCAATGATTATGATTCCAATTGCTTTCTTTAAAAATTTTACACGAAATTCTTTTTACAATTTAAAAGTAATGATATTGCTATTTCTTAACAAATTTAAATGTAATGATATACCATTTGTTTACATTTTTATTTTTTTACACGAGATTTCTCTTAAAAATTATGTTATTTCATCTGATGAACCGAATATGTATACATTTTTAATCTATAACAAAAGACTACTAAAAGTATCAATTAGGTCAGACAGCTAGCAGTTAAAATAGCCAGTTGAATCCCTAAAATATATTTAAATTTGAAAATAATTGCTCAAAGCCAAAACGGACTACAGTACTTTGAAGCCAAAAGGAACAATAATTTTTGTAGTTTTTTGTCACTAATTGGTATTGAACTGGAAGATGTTACAAACATAAGTACAGAACAGAGACAAAGATAAACTTGTACAAAGAGAACAATGGACACTCTCGAACATCCAACACTAAGAGGACGAGTTTTTTTATGTCCCATTGATGATACCATTCACAAGCCTTACAAAGACCACCAAAGGAGTTTCTCCCGCACAACACTCTCTGAAATTTACTTCTATATGACACCTGAAATGATCATACCCTGTATCTATAGAAATTACATAAATAACATTTATAAATCACAATCAAAGGACTAAACTACCAAGGATCAGCAGATGATACAAAAAAAGAGTTCTACTACTTAATCTGTTCTAGGAGAATAATGATCACAAGTTTGACGACACAGTGTTACACTCTAATCAAATTTCACAAAAGTTTTTCTTCTTTTCAGCTCACATTTTCACTGAAGAAGACAGCCACAACTTGTATTAAGGGTCACCCACCAAAGGGGCTTCAACCTTTGCACAGACAAGGTTTCCATTAATCTGCGGTTTTGCGGGGTTTAGTAGCTTAAGTAAAGACACCACTTGTTTAAGCAGAGATTGGCTCGTATGGGTATGAAAGCCAAGGGTGCTTCAGAGCCTCTGCTGCAGAAGGACGCTTCTTTGGGTTTATCTCAAGAAGATGAGCCACAAAGTCTGTGAATCCTTGGTCTCCCATTGGAAGCCGATGTCTCAAGGAAGTTCTCTTCGGTATCAGGTACTCCAGTCTGTTGCTTTCCTGAACAAACCAATTTTTTCAGAGAGAATGTTCTTTATTAGCATATGTTTCTTCCATTCAACATTAAGAGTTGCAGAGTTTTTGGGATTCAGGGGTCTCTGGAAAACACTAACCTGGTTCCTCTCGTAGAGCATTCGGTTTTTTGTGAAGTATTTGTGGGAATCACGTCCCTTGGTAAGCATTTCATTATCGAAAGATCCTACGATTCCCATTACCCTTGCAAGCAAACTGGCTGGAGAATCATTCTGGAAAAGAACCTGCAAAAGTAACTCAATGATAAACACGGATTCACCTTCTTGTCCCCAAAATTCAACAACCAACCCAGACAATTTAACTAGCTGAAACTCCAGAATGTTAGTTACTTTTAAGAATCAATGATGCAGTTACCTTTAACTCCATCACATGTTAGTATAAATGACATAAGTTTCTGGCAGATTTATGTTTATTTAATAGCCCGATAATCAAGTTCCCATGTAATAAAACAAACTTACGCGGATTATAGATATGCAAATTTTCTCTCTCTTCGAAATTTATTTTGGAAGAGAAAAAATAATATGATGAAGCAATGACATCAGAAATGCACCGAGCCAATGGAAATGCAGGACTTACGTTGCCTGTACATAGTTCCGCCAAAATGCACCCAAGAGACCACACATCTATCTTTTTATCATAAGGAAGTCCCAAAATGACTTCTGGTGCTCGATATGACCTTGACTGGACATAGGAGCAAAGGTGATCTGTCTCGAAACAGCTACTTCCAAGGTCAATGACTTTTATTTCACATCTGCTATAGCTTTTCACCAATATGTTCTCAGGCTTCAAATCACAGTGTATAAGTCCAAGGCCATGCAGAAACTGAAGTGATTCGAGACACTGGATAGTGATTGACTGTACAAAACGGTCCCAAAGAGATTAGGAATCGGATAGATATACGTATCTGTGATGTATGGTAATGATGAAGTGGACAAACCTGCAACCTTGGCATCGTGAAATAAGCTTCACCACCTGATTCTCTGTTAAATTTGTGGAATTCGTATAGATTGGCCTTAAGAAGTTCACATACAATTAGCAAGTGCTCCTGCAAAAAAAAACAGTCAGGGAATCCATCCAAACAATCCATGAAGAGATCTATTGCAAATCTACTTGGTTTTCCATGACCCCTTTTATATTTCAATAAATTGGCATATGTGAAACTTTTTAGAAGTTAATACCACAGCTTCTTTACATGATTAAGTGGTTCCCCCAAAGTTCACAATTGGTCCCTATTAACATACTGTAGCAAAATAAAAATTTTGCACAAGGGATGTGATCACTTACCCGGTAGTAAAAGTAATCATACAACCGTAGAAGATGGTATTTGTCAGCAGGATCATGCTTGTTGACATACTTCAAAAGTTTTATCTCGTCAAGACTCTGGTCAAAGAAGTCTTTGTTGTTCTTTATAATCTTTATACAGACGTCCATTCCAGTCTGTAAGTCATGCGCTTGTATGGCTTTACTGAAGGCCGCTGATCCAAGGTACTCAGTGACATGGTACCGCCCAGCAATGACCGAATTTAAAACCACGTTAAAGTTCTTTTCCTCTTCGAAACCAGTCCTGATCAATATCAAATAAGTAATAAGAGAGCAGCACTCTCAGCTATAAATAAAAGTATAAAATCAAGACGATGACGAAATTTTTTAACTAGTTCAATCTTGGTCTAACTTTTCAAACGTATATACTTATCCTAGGTAATTACAGTGAAACATATTAACTTAAATTATTTTCTCAAAAATGAACCTGATCAATACAAAACAGAAGGAATGTAGTTAGGTCAATTAAATATGCTATTCACAGTTTTACTTAACATGATGTTTCTAGGTTGAAACGCAACAATCAGAGACAAAAAGAAAACATCATGTGTAGCTCTCCTAAACAAGTAATAAAGCGATTACTGTTTTAAGGGTTAGGGAGAAATCATACCCTTAAAACATAATAGTTAGGGAGAAATCTTACCTGTTTTTACGATGCACAATTTTGAGGTCAAAGGTTTCAAACTCCTCCTCTTGGGCCTTAATTTGTCTAACTTGCTCTTGGACAGCCACTGCCTCTTCATCATCAAGTGCTGTCGCATGGTCATTCTCTCTTTCACTGCTATCATTTTCTTTATCACCATGCTTTCTTTCTTCGCGAGCATAATTTGACAGAGAAGAGGGAGATGAGTTTACAGATTTTAGGGACGTTGCATTATTTTCTTTCACAGAACTTCGAGAACTTGATGAATCACTACTTTTTTGTCTCCAAGTTGCAACCATGTCATCCGTAGCTGTTGAAGCACTTAAACGTTCGGTATTTCTATCTCTGGTTACCGTTTCACGATTGCCAGACCATAATGATTTACTAGATTCTGCATGCATTAACTGCCCATCTTTTTGTGACGAGCCAAACGAAAAACCACCATCAGTTTGAATCTTCACATGAAAACTTCCGCCTGAATCATTTTTACTCGCTTTTTGTTTATTCTTGTTTGGGCCATCAATATGCTTCTTATCTGACTCGGAGTAAAGCTGTTTAAACCTGGATGCTACAGGATCATGATCACGCGAGTACTCAAAATCTCCCTCACTGCTACCTCCAGCCAAACTTTCACGTACTTCACTGCCAAAATCAGCTGCATCACTACTAATACCCACACCAATTGACCTGACCGAATCATGCTGATCATCTTCGACGTAAACATCATCAAGATGAGATTTTCGATGGACACTTATGCCTTTCTTATCACCTAACATGACAAGTTCATTTGACTGAGCTACAAACCCCTGCCAAACAGGCTCAGTCCGCATCGAATTGAGCAACTCCTCATCCATTAATTGCCCATCATATTGGGCTAATAAATCATTTTTCTTACTAGCTGGATAAATTTCTGAGACCGTAAGTCTTCGGTCATTTTCTGAAGAAATAGGTTCAGCATCTTTTGATTGGAGATACTGTTCTCCAGATATATAAGAAGCCTCCTCGGCATAAGACTGATCATCCTCGTCTTTGTTTGCATCTCTTCCATGGTGATCAGGACTTCCGCGGGTCGTTCCTTTCTCATGATCACTTGGATAATCAATTTCGTGGGCAAGAAACCATGTTTCATCTTCAATAGGTTGCCTGAGATACCCAATGTCGTCATCATCGTCATACTCGTCAGAATCCCAGTATTCATCACGGTAGTCAACAGATTCACTTAAACCATCGCCAATAGTAGCAAAACCAGAAACAAGATCTGCTATTCCCTGACTTACTGAAAGCCAGTTTCCCCCACCAGATTTTTTTCCACCTATATGAGATCATTAGGAGATTATAACTTACATTAACACCTGAAGTAAAATTGATAAGATTAAGGTTAAACTAAAAAGGTAGAAAGTGAAGCGACATGGTCCTTATAGAAAGCAGAGTGGGAAGGGACGAAATCTAAACCATTATTACTTGCTTTCTTTGGAACTGATGCCAGTAACTTCTCAATGCATTGTTTTAATGTATGCATTCATCAAATTAAAACATGTTTACTTGCAGATTCGCGGAGAAAAATGTAGCTAGTAACAATGTGATAACCACAGTAGTTCCTAATAGAATGAAAAATATGAGAAAAAATGCATGTCTTTAGAAGTCATGTCATTTTAAACAACCATCATTCAGCAGTCAGAACGAAAACTTAGCAGTTGTACGGCTGCATTGTCATGCAATCTAACCTGATGAGCTAATTTCTTGTCCAATGGGAACATCAAGGTATGAGCCTATGACAAGGGCCTCCTCATCATTGATTAGCCTTGGACCTGAACCATCACGTTCAAATTTTTCTTCACAGTAAAGACTTAGACGATTGTCTTCAGACTTGAGCTTAACAGGAGGCAGCCTAGGAAACTCTTCCTTGCGGGTATCATAGACAAGTGGAAAACCTAAGCTGCTGATGGTTTTGTCATCAAAAGTGGATTGAGATTTACCAAAGAATAAAGCTCTTGCCACCTCGCTCTCCTGCTCCTTGATTGCCACCCTCACATCACTAATGTCTGCCTTTTTCTTTCCCTCTCTTTTGTTCGAGCTGCTAACCAGATTGTAACTGGTTGACGCATCCCCTCTGGAAGATTGAAAAAGAGTATCAACAGAACACTCTTTCCAGTTCTCTGAGGTATCTACGACATCTTCAGTTCTTAAAAGAATGCTACCCTTATAGCTGTCATGCTTTCCAGGATTTTCAACTAGCCTATCAATCTCATTTGTCTCCTTTATTTTCGACCCGGAGTTCCCTTTACTAGAATTTCCAGACCATAAAGTACTCTTATTGCCAAAGAAAACGATATCTTCACCAGTTTCCACTATCTTCTTATCGATATCAGCGAAGTTCCCATGCCTCGACTGTTGGAATGCATAAGAATCCACCAAGCTGCTACTACTATTATCATCAATGTTTCGATAAGGCTCCAAGGTACCATTTCCGGAAGTAAATTTATAGGAATGAGCATCAGGAGCAGCAGCATCACCCGAATTTTTGGAGAATGTGAAGCTCATCTCAGTTGATACAACCGCTTCCTTCTTGCTCGGTTTGTCAGCAGCCGCGCCATTTTCCCACTTGATTACAGACCCATCGGTGCTAGTCCCACAGTCTACCTCTTTCACAATCAGCTCCTTGGAGACTTCACTATCTCGAGAACCTGACCTCCGAAGTTCATTAGCAGCAGCACTTTCATTTGAATCTTTATCCTCAAGCTTAAGTTTCTGAAGAAAGCCATTAATGTCAGACCGGTTATTAAGCTCATTACGCAAAGCTTCCTCAGCTTGAGAGAAACGATTATTCCTAAGAAACTCTAAAATCTCATCAACAGAGCTTTGGTCCGTCATTTACAATATACAGGAGAAGCACCAATCCTGTAACCAAGAGAAAAGATTAAAACTTTTTCTCTGTTCAGATGTTGTCTGATACGCAAAACACTTAACCAAAACAATTTGGAGAATATTTCTCCCAAAACAAATTAGGAGAATAATCAAAATCAATAATTTCAGTCACATTTCAGAAACAAGCCAAGAGAAGATTTTTCAGGCAGACAAGACTCACGTTTGCTCATACGAACTCCAATAAGCTCTTAAAACCTCTAAAAATCCTCAGGAATCATGCTCCAAACACGCAAAGAGCTGAAGATCCGGAGAAAAAAAGACGTGGAAGTGGATCCAAGGAGAAAATGCGCTTTAAAATTACAGATCAAACGAAGAAGCAAAGGACAAGACACGCAAGTTGAGGTTTCAATGGATTGTAATGATTTCGAACATTCACTGGTAAATTAAAAAATAAAAATTCCTAAATTTAAAAATTAGGGTTCTTTCTTTTCAATATTCTTATGTCGCTTCTTTACAATTTATATGGTAAGTGTATGTATATAATGCAAAAATTGTGTTCTACTTAATGATATTGCTAAAATCCAAAGATTCGGATTCGCATTGCTTCTTTTAAAGTTTTACGTTATTTTATTAGATGAATTTTTGTTTCAAGGGAATCAATCTTTTTTTAATCTCCAGGGGACTATATAACAAAGCCAAAACAGAGCTTTTTTGGTACTCATTTAACAAAAACGTGAAAAATAATATTATACTTTTTCTTCACTTTTTTTCCCTTCACTCAAGTGAATAACCAATATTAGACCAATCATTTCTACTAGATCAAATCATCATATGATTAGCGGTTTAATCAAAATTGCTTAAGAACTGATATACATTTAAAAACTATAAATCAATTCAAAAATATTTTAAATCTTACAAAATGTGGTCTCCTAAAGTCGGGTCCGAATCTCTTTATAGTCATGTTTAAAAAATATTTTAAAAAACATTTACTTCTATATGGCACATGATGTATATTTGCATCTTTTTATATTTGTCTTGACTCTTGACAGAGGTGAAGCAAGAATTCAAATACCATTCATCGATGATGCAAGCAAGAAAGAAACCAAAAAAGAACTTGACAGCTAGTCTTATATAAGCATATGATCTACACTTTTTGACCGTAAATAGATCGAATGAAGAGAGACCAAGATGTATGAGTTCTTGGATACAAAATAATATGTATTATCTTCTAAAGCGAACTCTTGTAAAGTAGTCTTTATATAAGATATAAACCGAGGAAGTACGGACATCAAAAACATCGATTGATATAAACCTTAAAGGAAATTGTCAAGCTGGGTTTGCAAATCCTGAATGGAGATCATATTGATATTGGCTTGTTCTTCAGCTGAGTACTCGGCTTTGAGCAAAGACGCCACTTGTGTATGAGCTTCCACAATATTTGTCCTGAATAGAAAAAACATATACATAGGATCATTGTTCATTATTCAAACTAGCAAGAGATTTGGTTTCAAACATAAGGGATTAGAACAAGCAAATATGAAACCAGCCAAAGATCATTTACATAGTTGATAAAGTTGCAGAGAAATGGACTTACTTGATCGGCTTGAAAAGTATGGTCCTTGTTGATGGGTTTTGCAAATAGAGTTTCATTTTTGCTAAAATCGGAAGCAACTCTTGCTGTATGGCAGCGTATACCTGGTTGAAATACATGAAATACAAATCAGCCTACCCCTATGTGTGGAGGAGAGATGTGGTTTTGCATTCTGAGTTATGAAGGTAATTAAAGCTTAAATATGCAAAAAACCATTGCGGGTTATATATATGATCTACTGTAAGAGCATAAGCTTAGGAACCAACAAATGCATGTTCAAGGTATCATTGACATCTATATTCGTTACCACTTGAAGGCTAAAGAACTGCCTATGAACAGAGTTTTCAATATCATGGCTCAGTAAGGGAAGCTGCATCCTTCAGAGCTTAATAGGGAACAAGAAATAGCTGCCATCTCTATTTCTGAGATATACCTTGAAGAAGAAGAAAAAGAAAAAACTCAAACAGTACATTATCTATCTCATACCTTTTGAACAAGTTCAGCCACCTTATCTGGTGTCGCGAAAGCTTGTTCCTTCAGCGGCTTAGACATGACAGAATCAACTTTTTGATTCTGAGTTCCGGAGGAAAGAGCAACTTTTATGGCTGTGACCTGCATATAAGTAGACAATGTGTAAACATAGCAAAACTATTACGCTATTCCATTAGGAGAGCAAATTCTTTGGAAAAGACAGATCCTTTCTTCTCATTATCAGTACAGTGTATTAGATAGATAGACGTGTCATCGACACAACTTAAAACCAGACAGTGCAAAAGATGCTGACTTAAACTTTTTCGAGGACATCTAGAATCTTAACAAAACTTTGAAAAACATTTTTCCAGATAAAGGGAAAGGAGCAACCCACCTTGGTCACAAATGAAAGCATAGGATCCACAACTAGCTTAGTTACTGACATGATGAACTCCTCACAAGTTGTTTTAAGACATTTTTCCAGTTCCTGCGAAAATAAAGGTCTATGCATCATTCCCATTCATAGTAAGTAATGCAAGGATCCAGCATCAAAGAGATGTCCAGGTAAGCCAGATACAACCAACAACTTGCCATATCTTTTGAGCCTACTAGCATGGCAAAAATATAACCCAGACCGAAACTAAATTTTTAATCTTTCACAAATACTGGTACATCAGTCTCACAGAAAATTGTAAACTGAAATCAACACATCTTAGTGGCAAACTTTTATGTAAATATGAAGCATATCTGCAAATGATAGTGGAAGGAAGAGAAAAATCACCAACCTTCTTGGCATCTATTTGACTCTCCAAAACTCGAGGTGACAGGGTCCTTGCTAGAGAGGTTGACCTAGACCAGTCAAAAAGTGACGCTTGACCTCTAAGTATCCTCCTCAAGTGTTCCTAACCACATTTTTACATGAATTATTGGAGAAAGTTAGCAAAGGCATCAACAAAGAAAGAAACTGAAGGAGGAAAAACATCTGAAATCTGCATAAAGATAGGCACCTTTTAAAGATAAAGAAAAAACTAGACTATCATACGAAGTAGACTTGAATGTCGAGGAACTAACCAGCAAATGAGAGAAATCAAGCTCTTTGTGGGTGACTGAAAATTCTATGTCAAAAGGGGCAATCTGGAAAATATAAATATTGTTTAAAATCATTGAACTATTTAGCAAAAGAAGCAATCTTAAGATAGATCAGCCATAACCTGTTCTCTCAAGATAAGGAGATGCTTGATAAGGAAAAGCTGTCCATCCATTGTAGTTGATCGCTTAATGATAAGCTTGCTCGCTTTCTGTTACATATTTGACAAAATAATGTGGACATCTCAACTATGGTACAGGTCGAGCAGATGTAAAAGCTCGGTAATTAAACAAACAAAACATAAAAATCTTTAATAGAAATGGCACATCTTCGTGTAATTAAAATTGATAATGCCATTGAAAATAAGGATAACTGAAACGTGAACAAAAATCAAGGCGAGGAAAATCTGGTTTTCTAGCGCGCTTACTTGAATTGAGAGTGAGCAAACTTCTACAGCTTCCTGTGGAACAAAAGAAAAGGTTTGTTAGACAAGTTGTCCTAAACATGAATTGGTATCTTTTGACAGAATGGAAGCAATAAAGTTACTGATAGTCTTGCCTGTGCTAGTCCGGTGAAGACGGCAGGCTCCAAGCAACGATATAATTTAGATAGACAAGAGAGAGTCTTTTCCAGAGGTGGATACCAAGTCTTAAACACATCAGCGTTTTCATCATCCTGCAAACTCAGAATATAAGTATACAGGCTACAGCTAAAGATTACCAAAACCATAGAACTAATTTGAGAATTTCATTCTACCCCGAGATCAGTTTCAGGTGTTGTATTAGGAGATCCTTCCAGCTTTGCAGGATAATCCAGATCTTCATCCGAGGGGATATAATTTGCAATCTGCAGAAGTAAGAATGATATTCAAACAGAGCAACTAATACTTGCAAAATCCTTTAAGGCTACACAGGATGACATAGCCGAAACTAGTAAATTTCTCCACTTAAAAGTCATTCAGTATCACAGTAATAATACAATTCCATCTTATTAGTATAGTAAGGTGACTCATCTTAGTGGTGACAACATACAAAGTTAACTGTTTCTACATAATCGCAGATGAGAAGACCACACATACGGAAGTAAAGGCCAATGTAAAGAACTTGTAGGAAAACTTAAATACCACACCTCATCTCGAATATATGTTCTGGCACGGAAAGTCAATCTCTCATTTACATCGGCCAAAATTCTTTGTAATGTAGGCCTCAGTCCGGCCAGTGGTTCACTTTGTCTAGCTGACTGGTCCCCCAAGACTTCAACTTTAAGGATATGAACGAGCTCACATAGAAGATCAATATTTGCTTCGTGAATCAGTTTTGGGCGTAAAATGTCATACAAGTACGTAGACCTGTTCAGGAACAAGCAAATGTGATCAATTGGATGCACCGCATAAGATATATCAACCGAAAACAATCTGGATCACTTACACTTACTCATATTTTCTGAATCATACACTTTTAAGAAGTCATATTCAGATTCAAAGAAAGTTGACTACAATGTAATGGATTCACCGATTACAACAACTACAGTTTACTGGAAGTTTCACATAAGATATAACAAACGAAATCATTTCGGAAGATACTAGCCATAAAAGTTTCATATTTGCTCCAAATTCGAAACATCACTTATGCTTACTCATTTCTCTAAGCTTTTAAGAAGTCATAATCAGATTCAAAGAACATAGACAGCATGGCATAGAAAAACTTACAAAGGATCCACTAAAGGTGCCAGACTCGAAACTTCTTCTGATGATGCTGGAAAGAAATGAGTAAACAGTTGATGCTCCATATGACAAACCTGAAATTCATAATGGAGGTTAAGACGTGTGGTGCAGAAATTTCATGTTCTGCAAAACCAAGCCCATTATCCTCAGTTGCTAAAGCTGATAATCCAGCCATTGTCTCTCTCAAAAAGACCTTCGTCTTACCTTTGAAATCGCACAGATTAACAACTATATTAACATTCTCATTTTTCTATATGTTTCTATCCCTTATAATGGTTTCCAATTCTACTAAACTGATATAGCTCCTATTAACCCTCATGAGTAAAGCAAGGTATTCGTCCCTTTATTTTCCTTTATATACCTGCATCAGATATGCACAACCCGATCTAGTCAACGATGGCAGTGCCTCTTTCTTGGCAAAATCAGATACTCGTTGGTGTACTATGCCTTTGACCTGATAATATGAAATGAACAGTAAACAGGTGAGTCTAGTTACGTGCAGATAGAAAACTAAACCAAAGTGTAGTCCAGAAAATGAGCTCACAAGCGAGAGCCGTTGTTCACAGTATAGTCTGTGGCATTCTGCAAGGATTTGAACATATTCCTTTCTTGCTGACCTACTCTCAATCTCCTCCAATACAGGTTTAAGCTGGACCAATAATTTTTCGATGTTTAATGTCATAAGATATAAAATATCGCCATGTCATAATCTCAATAACAAACTTGCAAAATTGACATCGAATAATGCTACAAAAGCTCATTTTCATTGTTCTCTTATCTAATATTGTGACCCTAGCATATCTGCACTAACATGGGAAGAAAATCGAAATGTATCACCTCATTTGCAGCAGCCTTGAAGCGAACATATATAACAGATGCCTCGACACCCTCCGAGACAGATGTTTTGTTTCCACCTGTCCCACGAAATGCTGCCTGAACCTGACAATGGATCAATTTGTATGTCTTAGGGAAACTAGGTATAACCTTACCTAACAATTCACTCTACCTGCATAGATTACATGCATAAAGATATGCAATATATGAAATATACACAGTTACAAGAACTATATACATGCTTATTGTAAGCTGTGCAAGAATACATGCATATTAGAAAGAAAAATTACCTGAGAAGCAGCCGTTTTAAGCACTGCAAGAATGTAAGTTCGAATCATGCCCAAGGCCCGTGACTGTAAAATATATAAATGTTAGTACATTCTATAACAAATTACAATATAATAATAATATCCCCTATAAATTCTGGAAACAATATATGAGTTTGTGCATGCGTATGAACTGTGACCCACGCGTCTCTCAGTGAGAGACACAGAGACAGAGACAGGAAGGGCTCTTCGTAGTACCTGGAGCTGACGAAATTTGAGCAAATAAACACTTGACTCTGCATATTGAGGATTATCTTCGATGTACCTACAGAATTCAAGGTAAAAGAGACATATTACAATCACTTCAAGGGAAATGGAAGAATTAGTGCGGCATTCTTATAGAAAATTGCCAAGTAGTGCATGTAAATTTCATAAGCAACACCAATTTACTCACGATATGCACTCATCCAAACGTTTCAGTAGTGGGAGAAAGTTTGAGTTTGATACATTCATATTTGGTGAATAAAAATTAGAGGATATCTGCGAAAAAAGAAAGAAGGAGATATTAGAGCAGTTTAACACCTTGTTGGGATATTTTCTCTTAAATCTACAACCAGCCTTCAGTAAAGTATTATGAACTAAAGTACCGCAAGTAGGCCAAAATTCAAATAGATTACGTTAATGAATAAAACAAGAGCACCATCCGAAGCAACTACACGCTGATACTTTAACATGTGTCAAATATTATGTAGGTAGGCCAGAATGTAAATCTTACATTCTCCAATTCATCAAAATAGTTGAGCTTACTCCTTAGAGCTTCTGCAAACTCCATCAATTTCTGCTTCTCCATTAACTAGAAAGGTGGAAGAAAGTGAAAATTAGCTCAGGCAAGCAAACTACAACAATCAAATAGCAGAAACTCTTGATCAGCCATGATGCATTAAGCATCTTTCGTTTGTCATTTCGATTATGTATAACAGGTAGGATGGAAAAACATGCAAGAGATTAATAGAAAAGAATACCAGTCGGTCACATGCATCATGAAGAGTTTTAGTCTTTGTTGTTACTCCTTGATGTTGAAGCTGCAGTTCATTAAATAGGTCAAGTGTTTCATCAACCTGCGCAGGAGAAATGCTAAGGTCAATAATGAAGCAGACGTGTTATCATTTATTGGCAAGGTAAGACCACAGTATTGTATAGAACTTGGTGAAAACCTGCCTGGTGGAGTATATCATCACATGTCTGGATGCGCTCAGTTAAAGTGTTGACATAGTGCCGATACTTTTCCTCTGTCTAACTCAGAAAAGAGAAAATTATTTAGACACATTTCAAGTAATCTTTTCCAACTTTTAACCAAGGAACAACATGACTATCACTAACCTCAGACTTCATCGCTGATTCAAGATCAGTAAACCATTTGTAGAACTGTAATGAAACCAACATATATCGAAATGAAGACACATTAGTACACATGTAAAGATGCAAGAAAAAGAGATGCCCACAAATACAAAAGCAATTCCTATAGTACTGCAAATCAACTAAGTATGGTCTTTCTCCACAGACGTCACAGATCATTAAAATATCAAGTTGCAGGACAAGAGATTACCTGATTGGTATTAACCAAAACAGCTTCAATTGCTCCAGAATCCCCCAAATGTGTGTCCTCTACTGAGACAGACAATCCATTCTCGGGCCTGTGAACATGCTCATGTACCTATAACCATGAACTAACACTGACATCAAACCACAAAAAAAATGGAAAACATTCTCAACAAAATCCAAAACTGAAAACCCTCAGACTCACAAGATTGGCAGGAAATGGCCGCTCAGCGACTGCGTGGGATAAAGAAACAATAGCTGCTTGTTGCTGCTCTGTCAAAGGAGCGCTCTGCAACGGGAATTACAATTCAGTATATTCTCAACAAACAGAGCATCATTCAGATCCAGGCACACTGGACACTAGACTCATCAATGGATCTTCCTGGATCAAAGCCGAGCTCAGATTGTGCGATTACCTGTTCCCAAGTAGAAGCGAAATTGTAGCCTTTGGAGATGGCTCCAGATTTGGGGAGGCTGGAAGACGAAGCTGCCTTAGCCGCCATTGTCTATGGCGGTTTCTTTCAATCTCGGCTTTGTTTTGAATCGTCACTTGGAAGAGGAAGGCGATGATCGGAAGCGTTATTTTTCACTCTATGAGATCTGGAAGGAGGGCAATAACAGATTGTACTGTCACGACTCGATCACTCGCATAGTTGAGAGCACAAATCCCGAATCGTATATCAGCGTTCAGAGCGGAGAACCCGTGACTGATCTGTTTCTTCTTCTTCGTTCATCATCTCCGGCGATTCACCGTTACACTTTTCTCATTTTGGGCTACTTCCATCGTTGGGCTTTCTTATCTTTTATTGGGTTCAATTTGAGAATAACTAGAATAATTGGGCTTTTATAACAAGTAAGGCCTTCTTGCCTCTTTTAATTTTAATGCCAAATAAAACAAAACAAAAACCCTTGAAAATAATTAAACAAAAAAATGCATATTAGCGATATACATTTGATTAGTCCGCAGATGTATATGCACTTGTATATCTTTGTTACAAACTTTTTTTTTGTTAAAGTCTTTGTTACAAACTTACACGACATCTTTCGTTCGTTTCTTTTAGATTTTTTTTGTTTTTTCCAAACTAAAGAATGCCGCCATATAAGAACTAGCTACATGCATAATGTATATGATTAATTTGTTAAACATTTAATTAAACATGTTATTCATCAAATACAAGACAAAATTATACAAATAGATTCCAACATACGGATAACTTTGATAGAAAACAACTCGATGGAAATACAGACATTGAGAATGTGTGATACTAGTATATATATATGGGTATACATCAACATAAGGTCTTTTTCTCACAATTTTCTTACATTTTTCTCAGGTAAGAGCTCACTAGTTAGTGATTTTACACATCAAGCATACATGCTAACGATCTAGAGTCTCGTACGTATACGGACTAAATAGTTAAGCTAACAATTTAGGGTTTATATATAGTCTGAAAAGAAGCTAATCCTAGGAGGCAGTGTTTCCAACAGACAAGAAGTCGAAGAAGGGAACATGACTTTCATTTTTGGTGCCCGAGTCATTGGGTTTGCTTTGACCCGAATCTTGATCTATAATCTCGCTCTTGTTTGAATCTGTGTTTACTTGTAGAAAATTGTAGAACTCCATAGGCTTTTTACTCTGGTTTGCTGCGATGCAACGATAAAAGAAGGACAAAATTAGAAGCTAAATGGATTGCAACTATAAATATATAAATATGTAGAGATGATTTAATGTAATGACGGAACCAATATATATATCTACAAGAAAACATGAATGTCACAGAATTTTGAAATTCATTAGAAAAATGATTTGCAAATGAAAAAGGCTGCTAAACTCTGAGAAAAATAAAAAGTCGGCTAAACTTCATTTCAAAATTTTGGAACATAATTTTTTCATCAATAATCCGTGCAAGACTCAGATACATATATGCATACACATTTATAGAAAATGGATCTTTCTCCATCATTTTGAGTTTACCTTTGTGATTTAAAGCGATCTTTCCGGTGAAAAACTCCTTTATGAACTGAAGATGATTGATATGAGAGAATTGGTAAGGGAAATTTATAACGTCTGCTGGTAATATTTTCTTCCGATCACCCGAACTATAATTATGATCAAAACCACCAGAACTCATCATGATTTGTTCATTCGCCATTAAAGAAGAAGACGAAGTCGTCGAGGGTAGAAGACGAGGCTTAGAGGTTTGTCGTGTGCGACGAGCCATGATGACGTGCCAATGGTTCTTGACGGCGTTATCAGTTCTTCCAGGGAAGAGCCTTGCGATGATGGACCATCTGTTCCCATGGATCCGATGAGCCGCTAAAAGTCTTTCTTCTTCTTCTTCCGTGAAAGGGTTTCGGTTTATCCTTGGATCCAATTGATTAAACCACCTCAATCTACAACTCTTACCTGCATATATATCAACACAATTAATTCATATGTATATCAAAACGGGTATCAAACCCTAGCTAGTTTTGTATATATATATGGACGACCAACGCTAGAAGATATTAATTACCAGATCGACCAGGGAGCTTGAGAGCTATGGCGTTCCAATTATGAGGACCGTATTGTTCGACAAGATCCTTGAGCTTCTCGTCTTCAGCTGGTCTCCAATGGCCTCGGCTGCACATGATCATTTTCTTCTTCACGCCGATCTATCTAATTACGTAATAACTAAGTATACCGATCCAAACCAATACAAGAAGAAAGAAAAAGAAACAGACACAGATTCTATATCAATAACGTACGCAAATATTTTTGGTGTGTTTATTGTATGTACATATATGTATAAACTAGAAAAATTTAAAACCCTAAGTTTTTTTTCTTGGGGAAAGGTTGGGGAAGATGGGTATGTGGGAACAAGAAGAAAGCTGAAGAGCACCTGCACGTATATATACATATATATTATTGAGAGTATATAATATACATTTTATGTATATGAAGAAAAATAAAATAAATAAAATCCGTTAAGAGAGTCGGGAGGGTTTGGACGGACCTCTCTACCGGCGACTGATGCCAACGTCTTCCCTAACCAAACACAACACCCCATTCTAAAGTAATCTACCTTTTTCTTTTCTTTATTTTCTTGGATCTTAATTAGCTCATATATACTAATATTTATGGAATATTGATTTTAGATATAAGGGTAGAGATTGCTTTGTGTGGGCTAAATTTCGTTAACCTCTCAACGTCCCTCTTCGTATAGTATTAAATTATTAATTTAAGGTTTGTTTCTAAGTTCTAACCTACACCGGCTACTTCAAGCCACCAATACTCATCTACGTTTGTGTACTCTTTGGCAAGCCACGTATTTACATATAAATATATAATAAAATAAATTTCAATATCCTAATTAAATTTGTGAATTATTGCTGTTTTTAGAATTTATTCTATAAGAACTAATAAATATTTCTATCATTTTATGCACATATATATATATATATATATATATAGATTTTTTTTTAATTATAATTTTTCATTCTAATATTAAACATTACAAGACACAACTCCACAAGTATCATACTTTGATTATAACGACTTAACTTTGCTCTATTTGATTAAAAGAAAAACTTAAATTATGATATTTCTCTTGAAATTCGTTTGTGATATTTTCTCTAGAAATTTTGTTTTTTTTATGTTGTTCCTCACAAATATACTTCTCCATATGCTTATAGTTAATAACAAAAATATCATGGGCAATTTCTATACTCATTACTTTAGAAGGATCATGAGATCTTTGTTATTATTCCATTATATGAGGATTCCATCTATATTGCCTTTGGTACTTAATTGGTAATGCTGATTAAATGCTTAGAGAACTTTGAAATATCAATTCTATACTCCAGAAAAAAAAAAAAAAAAAAAAAAACACACGAGGAAAAAGAGAGAGGTTTTTGATAACCTTTCAGACCTAATCAACGTTCTTTCTAAGCCTTAATTCAGAATATATCGGCCAACGTGGAGACAATACAACTAACTATTTTCAGCTAAGTTAATTCAGCTTTTTAACACCAAAACCTTAACAACTAACTTGATCGAACTGACTAGACTAAGCATCATCGGACAAATATATTCTGTTTTTTTTTCATTAGTAGTAAAAATAAAAATAGATAATAAATATATCATTCTTTATTTCTCTTTATTTTTATTTTTTTGAAAGAAACTATTCTTTATTTCTCTTTAACTATAAATGGACTAACTAATATTCTCTTAGCAATTTTACAATGGGGATATTCTTATAAACTGTAAATATAATAGAAGGTATATATACAATTGAATCAAGTGATGACATATACTATTAGCAATTTTTATTAATTCTGATGTGGTCAAACATTTAGTCGTAAAAAATACAAAGGTGGTCAAATATTTGGTCTCCAAGGACGTCATTAGTTTCTCTCTTGTCCAAAACGGAACTTTATAGGTTTCGTACATTCAGGACTAAAAACAGAATCAGTTACATTGAATGTTCCGTGGGATTAACTAGAACATTTCTTCTATTAGTTTTTGTTTATTTTCTTTAAGCGAAAACCAAAATAATTGCTGGTAAAGTTTAGTAGGAAAATAAAATAAAACAGAGAGTTAGTTGGGAAAGAAGCCATAACCAACTTTCAGTTTGTTCTATTGGTAGTTAGGAGAGAAGCCTTCTTCAGTTTCGATTTTCGAACCTATCATAACTAAACTTAAGCTGTTTCTTCAAAAATGTCTCATTTCAACTAAACCGGATCCTGATTACACTAAACAGATCACATATACCAGACCGGTTTTCATTTTACGACTGTACGGGTACTTCACCAAATGCTGACAGATCAACTGTCATGTCTAATGTCTTTAGTGTTTCTTCACCAAGAGTTCTTGAGACTTGAACCCGTTACCAGAACTGAACGATGAAGCCACACTGTTCTAGCATCATAATGTTTCAAGAATCTCACATCAAACTCAAGAATCAGAGAGCAAAAACAGATGGTAAACAGGATAGTCATGAGCCATAAAGAAAACAGACCTCTCACATCGCTAAGGATCATACAAAGTTCGGCTCTATGAACGCAATGGTCAATACAATGGCTTTAATCGAACACGTTAAACATATTGTGCGCTGCGAGATTTTTTTCAAAGAAACCAACATAACCATTCGACAACAGACCTGGATATGTCTCTTTGCTTTCGAGATCATGATTATTGGTCCAGAATGGGGACTGTGATGGATGAAATTTCACCAGGGATTATAATCACAAAGAGCTTCTCTCGAGGCAACAGAACCATCGCACTGCTGAGAATGGTTCTTTGTTTTAGTATGATGATATGGTCCAACAATTCTCACTTCCCATTACTTCCCTCTGAGTTTTGTACTTTTTCTCTTCTCACTGAGTGCAAAACGCCTAGCCATACTATGGTTGTAAAACTTTTTCATATGTTCAGAAAGCTTATGGATTGCCTTGAGGTTACCAACAGTAGATAGCCGCATCAAGAAAGAGTCAAACGCTCGATATGGCAGTTTGAGTCCTTTGTTCACAACCTCTTCCAGTAGAAAACACGCCTCTTTAGCTCTGTGACAGTCGAAAAGCCCATTGATCATAGCACAGTACGTTTCAATGTCCTGAACACAGTCTCTTTTATCCATTTCTTTCCATGTATTGAATGCTCCATCAGGATCATCCATCTCGAAAAACATAGATATCAGCATGTTGTACGTTTGGACGCTAGGAGCACAACGCGACTCTACCATTCTTCCATAAAGTTTAAGCGCTTCATCGCTCTTTCTATTCTCACACAATACCCTAAGAAAGCAATTGTAAGTTACTATATCAGGCGGGTAACCTTTATTGCTCATCTCATCTAGGAACTTGTACGCTTCCTCAACCTTCCCAGCCATACACATACCTTCAATTACATCCTTGTATGTCGACACATCAGGAAGGCAACCCGTGCTTATCATACGTCCAATTAGCTCAAAGCATTCTTCTGCCTTATCATTCTTTGCCAACGCCACAATCATTAAAGCAAAAGTCTTTGCTGTTGGAGCAGAAACAGCAGAGCCTTTGGTTATCATAAAGTCAAACAAATCAGCTGCCTCATCCACCATTCCAGCTTGGCAAAAAGTATCAATGGCAGCACAATAAGTGAAATTTTCCGGTTTATGACCAGCTTGGATCATCTCTTCAAGCAGCTTCATTGCCTGTCTAGGGTCTCTTACTCTACACCACCCAAAGAACAAGACATTGAACGTATTCGCATCGGGCTTAACTCTATGCCTCATCCTTCTAAGCAAAGCTTCACCCTCCTTTACCAAACCACACTTACACAGAGCATCAAGAAGCATATTGAAAGCGTTAATCTCAGGCTGCGTCTTCACTCTAATCCGTTTCCTCTTCGCAAATTTCTGAACATGAGTCAAGTACCTCTCACAATACTTCCTCAGAATCTCCAACAGAACATCCGCAGGAACAACAGTTTTCTTGTTTCTCTTCATGTAATCAAGCATATCAATCACAATCCTAAACTGCTTATTCTTATACTTCGTACTTGACAATATATCAATCATCTCATTGTAAGCAATAGGCTCATGTGAGTAATGTTCTTGATGTCCAGCCCAAGTAAAGAACCGAAAAGCCGTCTTTTCCTCGTATTGAAGCCTTTGTAAGATCTTGCATACCACAGGAGTTGTCAAATCGACAACAGATTCATCAAGGGCTTTTTCCATATCATCATAAGCATTCAAATTCGCCATTATAACTTCGTGTAAGATTCCAACCGCATGACTAGAACCCTTTGTTCTAATATCATTTTCATTGCAATAAACCAGTGATTGATCTTCGGAAATTTTCTCTCTACGGGTAATTTCAACTTCTGGGTCTAACAAAGTCGTAGAACAGAATCGATTCACAGAGAAAGATGAGATTTTTTTGTCGATTTGAATAGAATCTAGACGAGAACTCAACAGATGAGAGAAAAGTGCGGACCTTTGTGGTGGTGTTGTGGATAGATGCAAGGAGAGTCTACAACGAACAAAACAGGAGACGAGCCTTCGCATCATTCAGTAATCAATCACTCGAAAGTAAATTCTTTGCGAGGTTTAAAGCGGAAGAGACTGAGAGGAGGAACCAGAGGAATAATGGGACGGCAATGGGGATTGGGGGGAGAGAGAGAGAGAGAGAAAATTGGAAGTTTTTAATGGGCTTTATTATATTGAGGCCTTTTCATTTTAATGGGCTTTCTTCACTTGACAACGAACACTGTTTTGTTTGGTTTGAATTACATTACACACTATCAAACAAAAGGGAAGCAAAATTTTTATACATCAAGGTCTAGATATCAAATACTAAACAAAACAAAATGGAGAGAAAGCCGAAGAAAATCAATTTAAAACCAAAACCAAGCCATAAATCAAAATCCCCACTCCTAAGTTTATCATAGAGCCGCAAATAAATAATATATACATATACATCTCTTTACATAAGAGAATTGATATAGGTGCAACAAGTAGCAGAGAATACTTTTACCAAAAAAAAAAAAAAAAACAAGTCGCAGAGAAGAAGCAGTAATACCCATGCATGAGTCATGACATATATCAACAAGTTATGGTTTTTCTTTTCGTTTCAGATTATTGGTCAAGTGGCCGTTAGCGTAGTTTTGACTTTCGATACTCTCGTTGTCAGGGCCGGTCCTATTAATTTGGTGGCCTAAAGCAAATTAAAAAAAAATGGTCTAATATTTTTTTTAACCAAATTTTATTGATTATACAAAGTAATTTTTGTGTTATATTACTTGTTATTCTTAGTTATCAAAAAAATATTTATCAATGATTTATAAAAAAAAAAAGACCACGTTGAATTAACAACAAAAAAAAAAGCAAAAACAAAAAACACACGTTATTGTGTATATATTTTTGAAAATTCACTTACGTAAAATTACGTAAATTAACAATCGTGATGACAATTGAGAAGTTGTTAAGAATAATCTTTACTTATGACTGAACTGAAGCAATCTACTTAACATTTTTGAAGTACAAATTTGCTCAAAGCCAATCGGGTCGGGTAATTAGTAAGATTTTGACCCGGATTTTTTTTTTGACCCGACTCAATGGCCAATCACATCTCTCGGATTTTTTTAAATGAGACTTGCCAAAAGAAATTCAAGTAATTCGAGTCAATATTCGCTAAGATACTTTCCTAATCTAACAAATCCTAACAATGGAATCTCTTCCACAAATTTTGGCTATTATTATGTATAATCTCTTTTGGTAAGATTTTTTCTACAAAAAGAAACAACAATAATTACATCATTAATTATACGATTATAACAACTAAACATGGAATATCCTAACAATATACCTTAATTTCGACGATTTTTATATCTCTCTCTTTTGGTAAACTTCTATAAAAAAAAATATGACAAAAACGAATGCATTATCTAGAGAATATGCCTAATATGTAGTTAGCATTAATTTTAATTTGCAAGATTTTCAAGATTTTGAACTTGATCACCAAGATTTTCTCTCTTTACAATCAAACCTAACCCTAAACATCTACAACCTCTATATATAACATGTCAACACATGGAAAAAAAATCCATCGCATCAGAAACATTTTACCTTTTACATCGAGTATGAAAGTTTTTCAATATCTCCATGGTTGGAGACGGCTTTATAAAATTGCACGACGAGTCCAAGTTAAGATCCTGCATCATGGCAATACACAGCCAAAACTGGTGAGATTCTAAACTCAAATATTATTGTTAAGTTTCCAAATTCATTTTTTTTTCTGCAGATTTGTAGATAACAAAAAACATGCTTGGCAACGATAGAGTCTAGCTCCGATCTGTTGGATGAAAGAGTGGCAATCAAAAGGAAACACATAAATGGTTTTGTTTCAATCCTTCTAGCTAAAGCCTTTAGCTGCGTTTTGGTACTAAATTACACTATTGTATACATTCCTCTTCATAAAATATATATATATAAAATTGTGTTTCTTCTGGAAAGCTTTGTTTAAGTATTAGTTGGATTTGGATTTGAGATAATCTATGTTTATAAATTGTTTTCAACAAGAAATTTTATGTGTGTAGGCAATGAAGAATTAATATGACAAGATACTATCTTCCCCTAGCCTACATGTATACTCTAACCCAATAGAGAGATAAAGAAATGAATAAGAAAATGTTCTTTAAGATACTTATCTGTTTGTACTCCATTGTAGGAAAATGTTCTTTAAGAATAGAATCCTCCTTTCAACTTAGCCTCCCTCTTCAATCGGATCAACTCATTATCTAGACAATGAAAAAACCGAGCATATAATATTAGAACATCCATGAACAACACAACAGTCATCTTAGTTAGCAAAGCCAACACAAGTGTGTTCCTTTTACCTTCTCAGCATACTGGTCAGCTCTCTTGAAGATGAGCTTGCGGGTCTCAACACTCTTCTTCTTAGCAGCTACAGCTTCATCTTTCTTGACCAATGTCCATTCCACTTGCCTCTTGATCATTCTTAGCACAGACTCTTGGAACTACTACCTTAGATTCAGCCATTTCTCTTACATACATACCATTCCACACAAAAAAGCAAAAATAAGCTATATTAATCAAAACAAACAAATAAAAAAAAAACCTTTGAGAAATTGAACAGATTTTTAATCATAGAGACTCAAGCAACGTAGGAACATCTTGGAGAAATTGAACAGATCATGACAATGTTTAAAACCAAACAACAATATGAAAAGGAGAAATAAGAGAAGATCGGTAACTCAACGCAATGATACCATAGCTATAATCAAAAATGAACTATCTACAATAGAACTGGAACAATTGGATTTATCGATCGCACAAACATCATAACAAGCAAAATATAATGAATCAAAGAAAGTTTACGATTAGAAATGAAACTAAACGAGGAAGATCAAAGAAAGAAGCTTACTTGAGAGGAAGAAGAAGAAGTCTGAGAGATCAATTACCAATTCTCAAACAGATCAATTACCAATTCTCAATCTAACCACATCACTTCTTACTGTTCTATATATCAAACGGATCATAGAACCCTAATTTTGCATTACCCTAATCCCAATTCTAAGAACCCTAATTTTGCATTACAATAATCCCAATTCTAAGAAACCAAATGATAACAACGGATTTTCGACTCATCTCTCTTCTCAGAGTAACGGAAATCAACAAGAATTGAAGATTTTGCTTCACTTAGTTTTTGTCGGCAAAGGTCGAGAAAGGGAGAGAGGTGACAAAATGCTGAGAAAAAAAAACACACGTGAACAATTTTGTTTTTGGTTTTGTCTTTACTCTTCCCCCACTCATTGGGCCGATCGGAAGCTTTCTAAATCGAGTTTGGTTATCGCATCGGTTCAGTTCAATTCATCGTATCCTCCGGTCGGATTACAAAACAATTAATGACACAATCAATAAAAATCCGATTTAATATTAAGAAAATAATTCTTGGACGTGTATAATAGAATTTTGACGATATAATATTTTCATGTAACTAATTCCATATTTACTTTCATTTTTATTTATTTAGTATTTAATTCTAGCCAATTATCTAATTAACATAAACTTTTTTCTGTTATTAGCATTCTAATATACAGTGTTCTTCTATTTTAAATAGATCCCACATACATCATATATTAACAACATTATAAATATTTAAACTTTATAAAACATTTAAAGTGTTTATAATATTAAAATTCTATAAAACATTTATAATATTAATAGTATTTGAGCTGTATAAAAATTAAAAATTAAATATTAAAGGAACCATTTATAAGAAAACTTTAAATTGACTCGAATTATGTCTTTATAAACAAAATATTTTTCTAGAAAAAAATAACAAAATGATGTTTAATTTCACCGGACGAAGTTATATGGTAGAACGGGTTATGATCGATATTAATACGGGACGGTGTACCACAGGTGAAATACTAGAATTAACAAATAAAATAAAATATACAATCATAAACACTAAACAAAACAAACAATATTAACAAAACAATTATAATTTAAAATTAAAAAATTTTAGTTACAAAAAAATCAATCCGCGGTATACCACGGGTAAAATCTAATTTTATTACAAACCAAATACAAACAATCATAAGATTATAAACAAAAAAAATTTTAGTCTAATATATATATATCACAAATAATCAAATTATAAAAATAAAAAACACAAACAAAAAAATATTTAACCCGCGGTATACCGCGGGTCATATCCTAGTATGAAAGAGAAAAAGATAACAAATTGAAAACAACTTCATGGGGGTTCGAACCCTTGACAACTAGAAAGAAAGTAAGACACTTACCACTACACCAACAAGATTCTCAAATGTGACCTTAACTTCTTAATATTTATTTGTGGCCTAAAGCGAGAGCTTTAGCTGCCTTATGGCCGGGCCGGGCCTGCTCGTTGTGAATCATTGCATTTTCTATGGTTTTGGTTTCAATCATTAAAGTTTAATGCCTTTCTCATTATTTTTTCACCAAATTAAAAGAAGGGATACAATTGGGGGATTGATTTAACGAAAAATGGCCTCCATCGTCAATTCGTCATCCTTTGAGCCATTTTTGCAAGATTGTATTGTATGCAAATTTTTTCTTCGATCTGCTCACGAATTAAGGAGAATCCGAATAAAATCAGAACGTAAAAAACATTTAGTGTCACATGCCATTTTTGAACGTAAAAAACATTTAGTGTCACATGCCATTTTTGAACGTAAAAAACAATCAAAAATCGGAAAAATCAAAACTTAACTTAGACAATTCAAAATATAAAGAAATATCACAATTTTGTCACATGATATCTTCATATATATAGGATCGATAGGGGGCAAATGTTCAAATGAACATTTAGTGTAACAACCAATAAGTCAAACAAAATCAAAACAGTGACCATGAATCCATGATTAAGTTTGAATTTTACTTACCACGTACTGCAGTTAAACATGGCAGGTCTATTGGATCTAAACTTCCTAACTAAGTTTGCCAAAAGAAAAAAAAAACTTCCTAACTATTAAATGGAGACAACAATATCAAACCAAAACTAACGAAATAGTTGTATCATACT